TTGGTAACAGACCCTCTCTCCTCTGTCCTCGGAACCCTGAGTCTCCCCACTATCACAAGCAACCCTCTCCAGCGGGATTCAGGAGAGTCTTAGGTCCCTCTGATGCACATCTGGGCAGTGGGAACATATGACACTTTTCCCCACCACTGATGAAGGTGGTCCTTCAATGGGTGGATTTGTATGACCTCCTGGCAAGCAGCTTCTGCTTGAAGACATCTTAGACTTATCATATGCCAGACCACCGTGCCCACCAAAGTGCATAGAACTGTAGGCATAGGCATCCATGCCATCTCACTGGCGCTTCTTTGTTTGGTCTTTGGTCAGAAGAAGGACAGCCTTTCTCCCCACTGTGGGGGATGGTGCCATCCATAGCACAGCTAAACTTAAAAAAAAAAAAAAAAAAAAAAAAAAAAGCTTCCTTCCTTTCCCAGCTCGGACTTTAGACGTGTGTAAGCAGGCTGTGGGCTGAAACAATGTGGAGACAAACAATTGAGCTGTTCTGGACCCTCCTCTGGAGGTAAAGCTGAGGTTCTTTATTTCAGTAAGTTTTGTTGGGTGGCTCTTTCATCAGCTGCCAGACTGATTCATAGTGAAATCATTCTGCCTCATTGTAATCATCAGACAGACGCTTGGCTGAATTGTCTATTCAGCTGCTCTGAATATAGATTTACACCTCACTTTTGTGAACTCACCCATAACAGCGAGAGGCTGCTAGTGGCATCAGAAACATCTGTGTCCACCCCAACCCCTCACTTAGAGAGTTCCTCCAAAGAGCTGTGTCCATCTGCCACGAGTTCAACGGTAAAATGTTCACACCACCATTTCTGTGCTCAGGGGTCCACAGAACCCTGCTCTCACATAGCCTGCCAGCTCAAAGCCACATACTCTAAGACCAGTTCATAGCACCTCTGGGGACAGAAAAAGTAATCAGAGGTTTGTTGGGGATTTGGGTTCAAATCCACTGGGTATCTTCAGACAACCATTCCTTTAGATGTGACTGTTTCGTAACATAACATTTATTTCTTAAAAAAAAAAAAAAAACTCCTTTAAACCCCACTTTCTTAGTATCACAAAGCTTAATCCAACACTGAAATGCATTCTATACAGACAGGCGAATTTATTCAGAGCCAGTTCCTAACAATGTTCAAGTCTATGGTAAACATATGAATATAGCATGATTTTGTTTTCAGTTGCCCAAAACACAGCTCTCCTTAAAGAATCCCAGAACTCCTAAGTGTACGTGCAGTGATTGTTTGCTACCCCACATATTCTTATTGTCAAAGTTCAAGTTCACAGGAGATCCAGGGAAGCAGCCAAATTCAAAGTGATTAAGCTTAGCAAATTCCTGGACTGAATTTGATCTGGAATTCTAGTTTCCAAACTGTTTTCTAAGACTGTGTAGGCAATTTATGTAATTACACTGGAAGACATGTTTTTCCACTTTGAAAGTAACAAAGCCATAAGTGTCTTTAGGTTCACAGAGAAATGCTCAATATTGTAAAAGAAAACTAGTATGCCATCAGAAACTGAATTTCCAAATAGGGGCACGCTTCCCAAATTTCTCTCTTTCTAGTCAGTCTGAACGCACTGTACACAGGGGCCTGAGCTCTTTGCCAGGTCCTCTCCTCCACTCAAGTAAACATTTGATTTATACACAAGGTGCTTTATTAGACACAAACCCTCTGCTCTGCCTTGGTAGTCTGAGCCCAGTTGAATTTGACTAATCGTGGTTTGTTGTACACATTGTTGGGCAGATTTTTGGAGCAAGCTCAGGGCAGAAATCCTTGATCAAAAGCTATGAGAACACTGGCCTAAATAGGTGGGCAGACTGGAGTTCTGAACCTGACTAGTCTGTCAAGACAAGAATATATCATTCTCTAGGAGCTTTTTGTTTTGGAACTAGCTCAAAATCAGCCTAAATACAGAAAATCGAGTTAAAACAGCTAATGTAATTTCTGTTCCATCTTGACTACAGCAAAATAAATTGAAAACAAAATATGGTTTACAAATTATAAGCTTTTAATCACAGACAAGAACCAAAAAACCATGCATGCCAAGCAAATGTGGACTAAGTTAAATGTCAGTCATTTATACATATGCATAAAATTTAATGATGCATATTTAGCGATATGCATAAACACAGTAATAGATCAGCTAGCTAAGACAAGGGGCTAGGAGTAAATGTCACAATTGTACAAAAGTCAGCTAATTCCAATGGCCACTTGCCCTCCTTCATCTCACTGCAGCTCCCAAAAGAAAAAGTGTGGTCTAGTAGAAAGTATTCATTTATGCTGTCTGCTCCCTCTACAGGCCAGAGCACAGACTGGGAATGTAAAGAACGGGCTCTTGATGTTTTCTCAGAGACTCTAGTAGGTGACTAGTGTTCCATTAAACAGGGCTTCTCATGGGAAAACCTGCCTGGGAGTCAGGGCCAACTTGTCAAGAAGATAGGGTGTTTGTTACTGAGGTGAGGGGTATTTGGCATGACAGTGAATCACAGAAATCTACCCCTGTGCACAGTAGATCACTGGTTTGCCCTCCCAACTTCTAGTTCCTAAGGAAATGGGGATTTTAGAGACTATGGTGGCCCTAGATCCCCAAGGGAATCCTAGAGGGAAAATTAGAAATGCTTCCCCATAAAAGCAAACAAAGCAAAACCCACCTTACTCCTTCATTTAACACTTGTCCCAGAGATGACCCTATTCTGTCTTTTCTCCTTATGGAACCTTCATCCTGTACCATCTCCTTCCCAAACTGGTTCCTGTTGGGTGAGCTGGCAGGAGGGTAAGATGGCTGCAAATGTCTGGCTTAGTGCTCTACATCTGGTGGTGGAGAGATTGCAGGGCCAGTCTCTGGCTCTGTTTTGTTTTGATTTGGCGATGTGGGGGGGGGGGGCTGTGAGAAAGTCCACAGCTTGCTTAGGACAAACAGCACCCAAGAGGAACTGTAAGATGCACTCCAAAATGGGAACTCATAAAGTTTTCCATCCAACAATGACTGTTCGGGAAACCCTATTCGTGTGATAAACAACTCACGGAGCTTCTTTCTTAAAGTAAACAAGGATGACATATCTACCATTTATATTGATAATCTAGGCTGATTCAACTGACAGCATAAATGAAGATCAATTAATACTCCCCCACCCACTATTGACTATTCCTAATCTCCATGTATTCACCTCTGTAAATACAAAGGCAAGAGTTGATCCAATCAAACAGCCATGCCTTTTTTGTCTTGTGGACAGAAAACCTTTCTTGTCTGAGAAAAGAAATAATGATCCTAAAATGGTATTCCTGAAAAAGGAAGACAATGCACGCAGCACATTACTCGACAGAAAGAAGGTGTTTCTAGAACATTGTACTCTGCGCTACAGGACTGAAGGTAACTCATTATAGCTCCATTGAGCAGCACATGTTATTAAGAGATAATAACAAACTTTGTAATAAAAGTTCATATTTCCAATTATGGCATATGGTTTTCTGAGAGAAAAGCAATTAACAACAGCTGTGTCTGGTGCAGATTTCAGAAGACAGCCTCACAGTGAGTAATTACAACGTAAGTCCTCACTTCCCAGTAGTGACAATACATGCACATACATTCATACATGCACACACACTTTGGGACGAGCTTTTCACATATGCGGTCTAAGCACAAAGTCATATTTGCTCATCGGTGTAGGGCAGGCACTCCTGCAAAGCTAGAGTTAAGAGGCAAAGATGACATTGCCTCATCCTAACCAGCTTCTACCAAGCAGCAGCTCTGTGTTTGAAAGGCTTGCAGAAGCGTTAATCTGTGATGGGAGGTAGTGTATAGTTTGGTGAATAACCAATTCCTTTCCAATTAGAACTTGGTGTATCTCTGACCCTTTTGCCTGCTCTTGATACTATCCCTCCTGTTGGGTTGCCTTGTCCAGCCTCACTATGAGAGCATTTGCCTTGTCTTATTATTTTGTTCTGTCCTGTTTGGCTATTGTCTCTTGGAGGTCTGCTCTTTTCTGAAGAGAAAATGGAGGAGAGAGTATCTGGGGGAAAAGGTGAGTGGAGAAGAGGAAACTGCTTGGGATAAATTGCACAGGGGGAGAATCTATTTTCAATTAAAAAAAAAGTCAACACACAAAAGTCAGAACTCATAAATGCCCCATTACTAGTCTTCATTCTTCCAAAGACCATGCCATAACTTTGGATAAACTAGTTAATGCCTTATGACCTGCATGAATAGTGGCTGCTCACTGGCCAGTGAGCACAACCAGTGCCCAGGGTCCTGAAACCACTGGCTTCTTAGATCTCCTGTGGAGCCAGCACTTTATGCTTTTCTTTGCCTCTCTATATTTTAGGACCACTCAAGAAGTGGATACACCAGAGAAACTTCAAGTAGTTTTCAAAGAGAGCCTTCCTTCTTCCCCTTCTTTCCCTTCCCCCTTGGTGGATGCCTGGATCTTGAGCCACCATGTACGATATCCAGTTATACTAGAACAACATAGAAAAACTCCGGAGAGTAGTGCGGCACGGCTACAATCCCAGCACTGAAGAGGTAGAAGCAGGGGGATTGAAAGTTTGAGACCAACCTGGCTAGACAGCAAAATTATAAAGGGGGCAATGTGTGAAGAGGAGATAGATATCTGGGAGAAGTATATGGGAAGACAGGGGAGGGTAATGGGGGAAAAGAACACATGGGGCTAACACACGCCTTAGGAAGATTGTCCGTTTGTACCTTCTAGCCCAGGTGATGCTATGGAGAGAACAGCCCTTGAGACTATGCTAGCCCAGCACCTGACCTCTTTCAGAAACCTAAACTACTAAGCATAGCCATTCCAGAAGTCTCCACTCAAAAAAAAAAAAAAAAAACAGGGAGGCAGAGTGCAACACTGCTCTATGTTCAGCCACTGACATTGGGGCAATGTGTTATATATGCAGCCAAAGTAACTGAAGAGGACCTAGGGGATGAAAACAGGCAGACAGGGTCAGTCTCGTGTCTGAAAAAGAAATGAACGGACAACTTACCAGTTCTAGACACTGTCTGTGGCCATAGGCAGCAGCATAATGGATGCTATTGTAGCCTTCCTTGTCCCGGATGGATGGGTTTGCATCATTTTGAAGCAGAAACTCTAGACAGCTGTAAGCATAAAGATACGGGCTTAGAAACGCTGCTGCACCAGAAGGGATGGTCAGTGCAAACCCCTCTGTTATGAGCATTCCACTAAGCACCTGAGACAGGAAATGTGTAAGGAGCCAATTAAAATAAAGCACTATGTGCTGGGGTGGGAGGAGAGCACATGCTCTCTTTATCTGGCTCTACTTCATCATAAAATAATGCTCCTAGAAGTCAGGGGAAGCTTTGGGAACAAGTGGGCAATTAAGTGTTCTCATCTCAAGGTAGAGACATATCTGTCATCAAGATTACTGAATAATAAGATTAAGATCTCCATGTTCACAAGTCTCAAATGTAATAAAGGAGTGGTCAGGCCACTGCAGCTGGGAAAAACACAATAGAGAAGGGACTTATTCTGACACCACTATTGGAGATGAAGATCAAGATGCTAAGAATTGCAAGTTTGAGAGATTAAGAAGAACCCAGAGCAGACTGAATAATAAAAAGACCAAAAGAGTGGCTAAACATTTAAAAAGCACAAAGAATTCATTCGGTGACTACACTTGAAGGGAGAAACTTAAATCACACCACCAGGAATGCAGACTAGATGGAATTATGAATTTCCAAAGTCTTTTCTGGCATAGTAGTCATTTTTTCTGAAAAAGTGACAACATAGGACACAATCATCTCTAACTTGTAGTTTCATACAACCAAGGATAGCTAAGAATGTGGCCCAATACAAAAGAACACTGATTTAAAACATTGTGAGGGTTTTCTACAATGACAGATTTGTGTTTGCAATATCAAAAGGCTGGACACACTTGGCAGAGGGAGGGGTTTACCTCAACCTTTGCTGAAGAGCCCCAAGTTCTAGAACCCCAGAACCCAGAGATGTACTGGGTAGTCTTGTCTTTGCTTTACAAGGGGCAATAACTAGCTAAACAAATGTGTCCCCCAAAAGTCCATGCTGATTCAATTTCTTACTCTACATCAAGGCTTATTAATTTTGGCTTTTTTGAAACAGAGTTTCATGCAGCCCAGGCTGGCATCAAACTCACTATGTATTTGAGGATGACTTTGGACTCCTGATCCTTCTCCCTCTCCCTCCAGTCCTGGGATTACAAGCATGAGCCACCAACCCATGTGTGGCTCTCAGCGTTTTAAGATTTTAAATCTAAACCTCCCCATTAACTAAGATTTTTCTCGTGGGGGCTTTCTATAGTTTCTTCACAAACTTTGAAGTTGCATTTACCTACCTTTTGGTTGAAAGCCAAAGAGATAAAAAGACAAACTGTTTCTTTAATATTTAGAAAACTGACCAAAGATAAATTTTGTAAACCCAATCACTTGCTGTATTTATCTGTAAAATGCTCCAAAATAAATCAAACTCTCATTAAAGCTCTGCTCTCGTGCTGTCTTTGGTCCTTCATACCTTAAAAGGAAGTACTTTTTTATTTGGGTAATTAAATTTCCATGGACAGGATCTTGTGCATGACTCACTATAAACTGAATGTAGCTCTTATATAAATCATTCACCAGGAATAGCAATAAATGAACAGACAAGCTCCAGTCTCTGAATGGGTTGCAAAAAAAAATAATTTGATAAGCTCAATTTATAATTTGGAAAACAATAATTCCTCCCAGAGAATTATTTAGTCCAGTACATAGCTAAACAAGATGACAACTGTACAGATACAGCAACAGAAGCAATGTGGAATTTGGGTAATCTCCACATAGCTCCTAAGGGAAAAAAAAAAAAAACAGACCCCATGCTCAACTGGTGAGGATCATCCTTCTTACTCCCAGGGAGGATTAGCAGCTCTTGCCAGCCACCTGAGATACAAGATCAACAGAACATTAGGCCCCTGATGTAGAGAGAGGGGTGTGGTTATTCATGGCCCTTCCTCTAGTCACCAGTGAGCCTGGGCTGGCACAGGGCAAGCCTGCAAATCAATGGAGAAAGCGAGGCATTCTCTATTTTTTAAACATTATTATTTTAAATTTAATTGTATTAAGGTGAAACTTGGTCACTCTGTTTTACTCATGGCACTGTCTGTCTCTATCCCAGAAATACTCAGTTATGTCCTATAACCTGTAACATTTTAGACACGAGGCGGTAGGGAGTGGATTAGAGTAGGCAATGTGAAGGCCTTGGAGTGAACACAAGCATTCTGGCACAGAAACTCATTCCTGAGGTAACTTGAGGAGAGGATAAACATGCCTGCACTCTCAGAGCATTGTATCCCCCGAGGGATGTGGTCCAAAGTGGGCAAATGTGTTCACTGCACCAAGTGTTGGGCTCACCACTGTCAGGGATCTCTGTCCTGATCTGTTTGTAGTGATGGCAAATACTCCAGGCCCTTTCACAGCAAGAGTGAATTCCCTGTCTGAAGTCAATATGGGGCAGTATGGTCAGAGGTAGGTGTTTACAAGAAGTAGGAGGTTATCTGTAAGTCAAGGGTCTGATAGGAATTACACAGAAGGGTCTGAAGAACTTTATTTACAGAATCTGTGAAATAGTTACCCTTAGGTCATCAATATGGAACCTAAGGTCGCAAGTGGAGGCTTTCCATGTCCCCCGTGGTATACGATACATGACCGAGTCAGTTATATTTAAGACCTAAGGCTGCTGGCTCCTCACAATGGTAGTCAAAGCAAGCTCATGATTTTACAAAGAGGTCCACGTATAAGAACAGTAGAATGGATGGATGTGTTAAAGGTGAGTCTATATCCTCCCCCTTTCTCAGGATCCCCAAGGAAAATCCCAGTAGGAAGACAGGTGTGCGGTGACCCAGAGGAACCAAAGAATGTGGCACCTCATCTTACGCCCAGAGGAAACTTACAGGGCAGCATCTTTTTCCTTCATCTCCCTGGCTCTGTCAAGTTCTTCAGAATTGTCATGGGCGTTTCCTAAGATCATCTTACTTCTCAGCATAAGATAAAAGAAAAAAACAAAAACAAATTTTAATTAAAGATTGTTGACAGTTTTTGCACAAATACATCTCGGTGATTTTATCCCAACCCAAATGGACATACATTGGTTCTCTCCAAGGCATCTAGGAAATCTCTTTCATGGAATCAACTGAGAACATCACTTTCCTAAAACTTCTCCCTAGCTGTGTGATGAAAAGCAGACGAATCAAGCTGCCTACCACTATATAGGCACCCTAGAACTTTCCAAGTTCTAAGTTCCAAGAAACAACTTAGCTCAGGCACCTCCACCTGCTACCACACCCTCACACTTTCTGTCCAGCCTAGCATTTCTCTTCCTATGAGGGATCCTGACTGTCACCTCCTAGATTTTCCCTTCTAGCCCTTAAAACATGAAGCACACTTTCTTCCTTGCCCTTCCTGCAGCCCATCTTTCCCTAATGCACAGCATTGCTCAATTAATAACCTGCATGCTGAGATGCCAAGTGTGACCTCTTATTAGAAACACATTTACGCAAACACAAAATGAAGTGGGGTTGTGTGTGTTCATGTAGGAGATTGCTTGTGTGCACACATGTATGTGGAGGTCAGAGGTCAACTCCAGGCCTCTTTTTTAAGAGCCATTCAGCTGGGTTTTTGAGACAGTGTTGCTCATTGCTCTGCAGGTCATCTAGGAGGCTAGACTGGTCATCATGCTGTTACCATGCTGATTTTCTAAAAGAGATTTATTTTTTAAAATGTATGTGTATCTATATGCCTGTGTTGGTAAAAGTCACATGTGTGCAAGTGTTCATGTGGGTGAGATCCCTTAGAGATGGTATTTATTACATGTTACTGTGAACCAACCAAGCTTAGGTCCTCAAGAAGAGCAGCAAGCAGTCTTAACTAATAAACCTTTCTCCAGCCCGGCTAGATACCTGGATACTTTTATGTGGGTCCTGGATATGAAATTCAGACCTCATGTTTGTGTGGAAAACACTCTACTGACTGAGAGAGCTCCAAGCTGTGTGAGTGTGTTTCTGTATGTATATGTATAGCTGTTGTTTGTCTTTTGAGACAGGATCTCATGTAGCCTACGCTATCCTCAAACTTTCTGTGTATCAGAGGATGAACTTGAATTCCTGATCCCCCTCACTCCCACCTGCTAAATGCCAAGATTCCAAGTGTGTGCCACTATACCTGGCTTTTCATACATATTATTTTAAACAATGGATCACAACATATAAATGATGTATTTCTTACTTGGATCACCATCCCAAATGTTCAGAAGGGCTTGTGGTATAGCCCAGTAGAAAAGTATATGCTTAGCTTACTTACACATTAAAATTAAATGTTTAAATGTCATTTTTCTGGAAAAGAAGCTATCAGTACTAACCCAGAACCAAATGCAACACAGGGGGCAGCAAATAATTCAACAGTCGTCATGCAAACTCATCAGTCTTCCTATGATTTAAGAACTCCATAAACTGCGGGACCCTACCCCCTTTCCCCTTTGCAGTGGTTCAGTGATGTTTGCTTCCCATGCCTAGTCACCTATAGTCCAAACATGTTTGGAATAAGAAATTCCTCTTCTACACTCCTCCATTGCTGGTGGGAGTGCAAACTTGTACAGTTCCTGTGGAAATCAGTATGGCGATTTCTTAGAAAATTAGGGATCAACCTACCTCAAGACCCTGCAATATCACTTTTGGGCATATACCCAAAGGAGACACCCTCACATCACAAGGACATTTGTTCAACTATGTGCATAACAACATTATTCATAATAACCAGATCTTGGAAACAACCTAGATCCCTCTCAAATGAAGAATGGATAAAGAAAATGTGATATATTTATACAATGGAGTACTACTTAGTGGTAAGAAACAATGACATTCTAAAACTCAAAACCAGAAAGACAAATATAGTGTGTACTCACTCATAAGTGGATACTAGACATAAAGCAAAAGATAGCCAGCCTACAACCCACAGCCCCAGAGAGCTAGAACCCTCTGCCAGAAACAGATGGAAGATTTGGAAATTCACAACTAACCACTGGGCCAAGCTCCTGGAGTACAATCAAAGTGAGGGAGGAGCAATAATATGAACAAAGGAGTCAAGACCATGATGGGGAAACCCACAAAATCAGCTGACCCGAGTTAGTGAGAGACTAATGGGGAGTCTGCATAAGACCAAACTAGACTCCCTTAATATAGGTGACCATAGGGTAACTGGGACAATATATGAGGTCATTGGCAGTGGGTCTGAGATCTAACACTGATGTACAAACTGACTTAGTGGAGCCCATTCTATATGGAGAAATACCTTGCTCAGCATAGACACAAGGGTGTGGGGGTGGAGAGGTGCCTTGGTCCTGCCTCAGTGAGATGATGGGACAGACTTAGTAGACTTCCTAGGGGAGGATTTACCCTCTCCAAGGTGAGGGGGGAAGTGGGGAAACTGGAAGGAGAGAAGGGAGGGGGAACTGGGATTGGAATGTAAAAAAGGAAGGCAGGAAGGAAGGCATGAAGGAAGGAAGGAAGGAATACCAAAAAGAAATTCCCCTTCTGCAGCTGCTGAATGAGTATTCATGCCCAAGTTGGGAAGAAGAGTGTCTAATGTCATCACAGCAGGGCTGCATTTGAAGGGATTATGCAATGGTGGGTATGTTTTCACACAGGACATATATATTAGCCCATGAAGCATTTAAGCGGCAATGATGGAAACTATTGTGTATGCCAAATAAATTCCAACAGATTTCCAGAGCCTGAACTGAAAAGCCTGGACTTGACAGCTCTACTTGGTATTTAACGCAAAAGCAGAGAAGAGAGAAAACCGTGCAATGACATATAACAATCAAACCTAAAGAGAGAGAATGAGGAAGCCTGGGGTGTGGATGATCCTCCACTCTGAATGAGAGAGTCCTCATCTGCAGTTTTTGGCAGGCAGTGTAAATAAAACGTTAAGTCCTCCCCTCTGGCTCTACCCCAAGATGAAGCACAAGCAAGGCTATTTTTACTTTCTATCCATGTCTGACGCAGCAGCATAGTGCAGAGCTGTTCGTCCCCAGTCATCTGTTTCATTAACGTTGGCTCCTGTGGTCACTAATGCTTTAATACAGTGGAAATGACAATTTGCAGCTGCATAATGCAAAGGGGTCCTGAAAAACAAACAGATTATTATTATTATTATTATTATTATTATTATACTATTACTGCTCATTACTGTTTTAGTTTACTCAGTCCAGCAGACTCATCACTGGCAGAAGCACTGGCTATAGAATTCTTGCTTCAGCTCTCAGTGTGTGGAATCTGAAGAATGCAAAACCAGGTCTACAAACAGATGGCTTCTAGCAAGGCCAGCCACAGTGGCACTACCCTTTCTTTCTATTTCTAGTGTCTACTCTTGGTTACATCTATGTCATTGTTTGTCTATTGCAAGATTGCCTCATGAAGAATCATCTTCATTAAGTCCATCATTAGAGACTGACAGGGAAGAGGGGAGGATGCGGGAAGAGTAAGAGAGGGCAATGGAGTGCATAAATACAAAGCATATACCACATGCATGTAAGAAAATGTCACAATGAAACCCATCCTTCTGCATTAGTTAATGTATGCTATGCTAATTAACTGGGTTTTTGTTGTTGTTGTTGTTTGTTTGTTTGTTTTTAAACAAACCATCCTTGACTCTAATCAAGCTTCTATATAGTTTCTGGCTGGGTTTTCAAAGGGCCAATCCCATTGTAAAACCATCAGCCCATTGACAAAGGCTTGATTTCTCAGCCTGGAATTGAAGCCTTTCCCAAGCTGACGGTCTCTTCTACAGAGCATCTTTCTCACCAGTGCACACTATGAAGCCACTAATGAATGCAAGCTGGATGATGAGGGTCTCTAGATCATGTTCACACTTCACCTTCATTCCTGTCCTTTCCTCCTTAGGAGTACCCTTTCCTAGCCATTATACCAAGTCATTCTTTCTATTCCAGGAGCTAGCTTCTTTGAAAAATATGGAGGAATTTACATTACTTATTTTTAGTTTCCAATTATTTGACATGTTTTTCTGTTGTGACTAACCAATATCGCAGGAATAATAACAAAGTAGAATACTAAAAATAAAGTAATATTAGCTCAGGAGTTATTTATCAGTTTTTAAGAACTTTTTTTTTTTTTCATTTTGCAGACAACTTGGAACTCTTTTACTAGTTGATTTTCTCTTCAGTCCAAAAGGAATTACATGAAATTACATTTTTACATACTGGGTTGCTTCTATTTTAATTAACTGGACTGAAAATGACTAGACATCAACAGTCCTAACATGGTTTAAGGATAAAGAGAAAGCGAGATTCAGGGACACACGCCTATAATCCCAACACTGGAGAGGCTGAAGCAGAAGGGTTTTGAGTTCAAGGTCATTTAGATTACATAGCAAGTCCCTGTCTCAAAACTAAATGCAACATCTTTGGATGTGACTCAGTAGTAGAGAATTTGCTTAGCACATGCAGTACTGTGGCTTTGACTGATTCACAACAACACACATACACACTCTCAGAGACAGAGAGAAAGGAGGAGACAAGACTAAAGAAGAGAGGTGGAAGAAAGACGGGAAGGGGAGAGGGAGGGGAGGGCAAATAAAGGGTGGGGAGGGAGAGGGAGGCCAGGGGTGAGAGAGGGAGGGAAGGAGAGAGGGGGGGAATGGGGAAGGAAAGGGAGGAGAATGGAAGGGGAAGGGAGGAAAGGGGAAGGGAAGGATGGAAGGGAAGAGGAGGGGATGGGAAGGGAGGGGAAGAGAAGGGAAGGGAAAGGTGGGGAAGGGAGGGAAGAAGAGGGAAGGGTAACGGAGGGAAGGAGGGGGAGGGGGAGGGAGGGGGAAAATGACAGTCCTGGCTTTCAGAAGACTTGCTGTCAGACGGGGAAAGATACAACTAGTATAGCGCGGTCATGGAGTGTTCAGAGAGCTAGGAGAACACAGAGGAGGAACATTTCTGTAAGAGCGACAAGAAGGATTCATTTTATCTGAATCTGGAAGGATGAGCAGAGTTATCATAGACGAGTGGCAGGAAAAGAAATTTGAGTCAACCCCAAAGAGCTAGGAGGCAGGCAAGGAGGGAAAGAACATACACATACCTACATACAGTCCTGTGTCACATGTGCATGCGCACATACAGGCATGTGTCACAAGCAGGTTGTGTTTTAAGAACCGTGTAGTATTAGGGGGTTTTGTCATTATATGAATAAAAACTATTTAAGATATATGGGACCACTATAGAGCATGTAGTCAAGTTCTGAGTGAAATGTTGTTACTTGGTATATGACTCTGTGTGTGTGTGTGTGTGTGTGTGTGTGTGTGTGTGTGTGTGTGTGTGTCCATGATCCAGTTAACATCATGACACAGTTTAGCTATTCAAGGGGATTATGGAGGTAAGAATAGTTCTTTGACCCACTGGTAGTTTGTGTTCATTTAATATTTCAAATGTCTAGAAATTTATCTCAAGATGAAATGACCAACATAGAAAACAAGTGCTGCAGAATTTTTAAATTTTTTATTATTATTTGTGTGTCTGTGTGTATGTCTCTGTCATGGGGAGTGGGGGAGTTCCAGAAGGCAGTATTAGATCCTCTGGAGCTGGAGTTATTGGCACTTATGAACCAGAAGACAGAGGTGCTAAGAACTGAACTCCAATCCTTTGTGAAATCAGCAGGTGTTCTTATCTCCTGAGCCATCTCTCAAGCCCATATTTTGAGTTTGGTGCACTAAAGTGGTCTATTCTGCTATTTTTCTAAAACACATCCAAGTAGACAATCTTTTAAAAAGTAGAAGCTCAGAAAGCCCTTAGCTCATGGGCCTGTCATCTTGGTTGGTGTTTCCTTACAAGGAGGGATTGCCTCTTGAGGATGGAATTGCCCCCAGTTGTCCCATGGTGATCATGCTCAATGGACTATTCCCCACTCTCGTTTAGGCCCCAGAGGCAGGTCAGCCTGCGTACATACCTCCCACATTTGTCCTTCTTGTGAAAATCTGCTCCACTGCTCTGCAAGAGTTTTATACATTCTACATTGCTAGAAAGACAGGGAAAACATAATTAGTATGGTCAGGGCTAATTACTAAGGGACCTCCAAGAAGAGGCATTTTCTGCAGAGTACGAGCTGGGATGAAATAATAGTTTAGGGTCTTAAAATTCCACTAACAAGAAATAACCTGGACATGGCCCAGGAGCACTGCATTGTAAGGATTTAAAGTTCCTTTCTCAAAACTAATAAATCAATAAATGAAAGGGCTTCACAGAACATTTTCAACTCAATGACTAAGGAATTGAATGATTATTATATGATTAAGCCCTCCGACGACAGCCTCATCATTTATCCTACAATTCTTTTTCAGAGCCATGAGGAGTTTATGAAATCACTGCAGCCTAATGATTCCGTGTTACCTTTAAACAATGAAGAAAACTGATGGAGCCCTCCCTTTTACCATAGCATAATAAATCCCCACAGTCAGCACTTTAAACTCCATACTCCTTAATGGAAAAAGGACAGCTGCATTTCCCTGTCTTTGTAACCCAGGTAAGTAAATGTGCTGGACCAACACTGAAAATGATGTAACGGAGCGCAGGGATCATTCCAAGCAGCTTTGTCAATTCACAAGAGCAATAAATCACACAGCACAGAGAAAGGACCTACTGAAGTGAATTTTCCTGTTGAAGGGCATGTAGCTAATATTCATTCTAATAGGCATTTCAAACATAAACCCAGGACGGTATGTTGTCACTTTCTGGGCAGGTTCAATATTCTTTAAAATGGAGGCATGACCATCCATCATCATTCTAAACTTGAAACGCTAAGAAGTGACTCAGAATGTATTGTTTTATTGTAAGTTAAATAAGAAAAATGACCTCATTAATAATGGGCCTCCAAATGGCTCTTCCCCATTCCACACCTACCCTTCATTGCCCCTTTTCTCAGACAGCTAAATGTAAGAGTCACAAAATGTGTGAATTTTTACAGGAACATTGGAATTGGTTCAGCGTGGCAGCTAATATTCAGCATCTATCTCCTACTGAATGATGGATGGAAAACGATCAAAGGCAATGAGTGGATTAGACCTGTGTGGTTCACAAATCTCATCCATTTTGAGGCCTGGGGTTGGGGGAAGGGATCCCATTTTTAAAACACAATAACTCCGTATAAGTTAGTTTATGACTCCAGAAGGAACCCATGTAAATAAGTTTCATGGTTCATTCACCTCTGATAAATAGGTAATGTCTTCCGTAGCACACATGATAAATGGAGAATTCCTTAAGTACTAGGAAACTGACTAGAAACTAACACCTTCCCAATACAAGGTCATCCAAATGACATTGTTTGTGGTCAATATGTGGTAATACATCAACAATATATTGATTGGGGCCTTGATCTAACCATCGATTTGCTAAGGAAAAAGCTGCTGATAAAAGGCTCTTTGCTACAGGGGAAAGGGCAGGGAATAAATCACTCTTGCCCATCTTTAGGATTTCCTTGACCTTTGTTTGCATTTAATCATCCTAAAAATTTCAAAACTATTTTCTATTTATTACAAAAATGTCAAAACAGGCATAAATTGATTCACTTCTTTATCCTCTTAATCACCACCCATCAACTGGCAACAAAGAGGGGAAACTTGAGAGCAAAGTTCAAATTAATTTATTTCAGTAGAAAAGATGCCAAGTAGAGACCCACATTGTGTAGTCGGGCATCTCACAGCCGTGGGCGTGGGCAGATTGGAAGATATCAGCACAAGCCCTGTGCACTACACAGGATGGGCTATTCATTTTTCTTTGGAAATGTGGAAATGAAGCTAGCAACACTTGATACTTGGTAGAAGTGATTGGGACCCCATTTACTAAGGAAACAGCCTTTGGTTCACAGGCAGTGTGTGTCAATTCAGATGTATGAAGTCATCAAGCCATGAAATAATGACCACTCAGGAGTACTCACCCTCCTGCGGCAGCAGCATGAAGGCATGTTCTTCCAAACGTATCTGGGGTGTCTATTTCAAAGCCTGCAGACAGCACGTGCTCATTACTAAACAAGGACACTATGCTATACTTTTGTCCTAGTTAAACCACAAGAAACATTGCAGAGACAGAAAAAATCAGTTAGTAGGAAAACTAGAATGCAAGCAACTTTAGTAAGAAAGAGGTCATCACAGAAACAAACGGCATTTTCGCATTCAGCCCTGGGTGAGCCACAGCCCCGGTTCCAATCCCAGGATAGAAATTTATGAAACCAATTTGAGATAAGTAGGGCAGTGGACAGGCAGACAGAACATATGAGAAACATGGAAGGCAGAGGGATAATCCAACATTCCTGTGGTCTAAGATGTGGGAAGTATGTTTTCATGCAGGAATTATTTTTAAGCATGCCAGAAGTATCGAGAACACAATCCACCATAGGCAAAGTACTTAGAGGAAGAATTACGCCTCTGGGATAGCTAAAGGACTGATTCATAAGCAATCTCCACCCTGCAAGCATCTACCATTTTGGAAAGCCTGGGAACTTCTTAATATATGGGGACTGGCAGAAGCAGTGATACGAAAGATCAGCAAAGCTCAACGCAGAGACAGTCTCTGGTTCCAGACAGCCCCGAATTAAAAATGGAAACATTAAACCTGCTTAGAAGGGGATCTGCCTTGCTGATGTTTCAATGCCCATGGAATTGGATGATAACATGCTATTTTCTACCACTGAAACATCGAATATTGGGCCATTTTCTTTTGTTTAAAAGTATTAAATGTTAAGTCATCAACTTAAGCCTCAATTTTTTTTTCCTTCTATGATTTAAGGTTCCCATATGTAAGCTCTGGCCACCCCCCTGCCTCCCTGCAATTCTGGACCACTTAAAATCAGACAAGACTGTCATTCTAGGCAGCAATACTGGCATTCAAAAAGCTTTGACTTCAGGGACTGCCAGCCGCTGTCTCATGCAGGTAGGCTATGGAACACCTCACCCTGCCAAGGGTAAGCAATGGCCAAGCACAGTCAGCCACTAAGACCAGATCCCTAAAGCCATGTGGCTCATGGGCAGGACACGTCAGGCCTGACCACTGCCATGGATTCACTTACCGGTTGATAATAACTTCCTGCAGCAGTCAGAGTGAGCATTTAGGGCAGCTAAATGTAAAGGGAACATGCTATGGATTCCACACCTAAAGAGAAAAACAGCCACTCACAGTAAAAGACCCCAAGCCACACAGAACAATTACCCTCTGCAAATCCTCTATTGAAAATGCTCATGAGGACCCATGAAGTAATTTTGTAATTTTTCCATTCAATAAATAATTACACAACCATTTTCTGCCTTAAGATGACCTTTGTTTTAACCCAATCAAAAGCCCATAACCATACAGATGTGTGCATATTTATATATGTGCATATATGTGTACATATATTTATGCATGTATGCACATGTGCATGTACCTGTGTATTTGTGTACATATGTATGCATGTACATGTGTGTATGTGTACTTTTGTGTATCTCTACATATGTATGTGCATATATATGCATGTACACGTGTGTATATGCATGTATTTGATAAAAATTTGAAGAGTTAAACATGTATTACCCTGCCAGGCATTCGTAGGACACACTGTTAGTCCCAGCACCAGGGAGGCAGAGGCAGGTGGATCTTTGTGAGTTTGAGGCCAGCCTGGTCTACAGAGCTAGTTCCAGGACAGGTTCCAAAGCAATACAGAGAAACCCTGTCTCAAAAAACCAAACCAAAACAAACCAAACCAAAACAAAACAAACAAAAACCTATTGTTTCTTTCAGCTTAGTGGCTGAACATCTCATTCATTCATTCATTCATTCATTCATTCACTCACTCACTCATTCTCTAACTTTGTGAGCCTAAGATACTATGCTATGTGCTAAAACTAACAATGCTAAGCAAAATAACCCTCAAGTGGGAAAGGACCTCTTTTTATTCCTTGATTCAATAAATATTTACTACTGACCTAGTATGTGCCTGTGTTTTGTTAAGATCTAATAGTGGCTATATTATTAAAAATACAATTTTGATAAAAAGAACTGTTTACCTTTTGTAGGCAAAAGTTCATCTTCATAATGGACATTGCTGATGAACACTAACCCACATCACCAGTATCAGTCACAAAACACAGGAGCAAAAACGTATATCATAAATTTAGCCTGCTTTGCTTGACTTGAGAGCCCCTCCTCAGGAAGATGCAAGGATAGGCAGACCTCTGGCACTGGCTCATTTTCCTTTAGAGTTGATGCTTCTCCTCTGGGCCCTCCCTCTCCATCTCTCTTTGCACAAGGACACAAAGCCATATGCTGAATTCACTTCATAACAACCAGTACCATCTGAGGTTTGCTATATATTTGTAAACATCTCTTGTAACATCTCATTTTAAGCAAATAATATAGTTTAGATTTTTAAAGTCCTCTGCACAGGCCCTGCAGCATTAACTACCCAAGTTTATTCTCGGAAACAAAGTGGTCCATTTTCAGATTTCACGCTTCACAAAGAAACACATATGATTTGAATTTGTTAAGCTTTGGCTTTAAATGCTTTATTTTCCATCTCAAGAGTTAGTGTGTATTATGTGTATGAATGTGTGAAAGTAGATACACAGCCTCTGATATTTCAGTATTTGGGATTTTGCAAAATGCAAGTGTCAGCAATGAACCTTACTTTCTCTTTCTATGTCAGTTTCTATTTGTTGGTATTTTGTTGCATTTTCTGTTACTTTTCACTCCCATTTTTGGAGATTTCCAGCCCAGTGTATGCAATAGCTAGCATCCATCAAGAGATGCAATTTTCCAGTCTTCCAGGCGACATCATGTGGAGGAGGATGCTTGTAATTGCCTCTCTCATTACTTACCCTCTTCCCATTCATTACAAGAGTCTAAAAAGCAATTGCATCATTGATGAACTTGTTCGTGGAAAGGAAGAGTCAGGAGTGGGCAGAAAAGGGTTCCTATTAATGTTACTACTTAAAGTATCCCCACTTGGTTTAACAGAAACATACTACTTTTAAAGGCATATTATATATATTATGAATCAAAATGGAATTTACAGCTAATAGAATTAGCATGTAACATTTTGATTTGTTTGGAGGGGTTTAGGCAAAAATATATAATTAAATATTTCTAAACTTTTGGAAGAGAATAGAAAGAATGTATAGAACATATAAAATATATAGAATATTTTCTATACTTCTTAAGTTTCTAAAGGAACATTCTGAATCAAGACTGCATTTATTACAATTTTTTGAATGAAACTCTTTTTTTTTTTTTTTTTTTTTTTTTTGAATTTTCAAGACAGGTTTTTTTCTGTATTATTTTGGAGCCTGTCCTGGAACTTGCTCTGTAGACCAGGCTGGCCTCGAACTCACAGAGATCTGCCTGCCTCTGCTCCTGAGTGCTGGGATTAAAGGCATGCACCACCAACACCCAGCTTTAAACCTCATTTTTAAATATATACATTCACATAAGCACACATATGTATATATATAAAATATATTTTATAAAGACATAAATATGTATATATGCACACAAATGTGTAACTAATAAATTTTGTAAAGATATCACATATAAACACATACATGTTTATACATGGCATATAATTTATAATTATATATCTGTACATATGTACATGTATATGTATATAAGCAATATATTTTATAATGATAAAACCTATTTTTCTATAAAACAGAACATGCATGAATTAAAGAAATAACATCAATATCTGTAAGGAATAGATAAAAATGGAAAGCAATTGTGTAACAATTGCATAATATATACTATAAACTTCATTACCAATCTTTCTACTTTTATCACTTTCCACAATTCATCACAATCTACATTAACTATTTTCTTTTTCACTACTACTTAGATAAGGGAGATAAAACAACTTTAATTTAGACTAGCAAAAATTCTGTTTGTTATATTATTTTATTCTGCATTTAAGAAAGTAATCATTTTAGTGCATAGTTTGAAGGTATCAGCATAGATGCCATTATTATTGGCATTTGAACCTGAATATGACATTGTTTGAACAGTCAAACTATGTATCAGGTAAACACAAGGAAACAGGAGCAGATCTCATAATCTCTGAGTCAAATAGACAGGATTTAAACATTTGAAATAGAACTACCCTTTTTTGCTATAAGACAGCTCACAGAGGAAGAACTTTGAAATCTTCAGTAGAAAAATCCAGGCTTGGCTCTCATAGTTAGATGAGAAACTTCACTTTTACTTTAGGTATAGGTCAAGGAGCATTGAGAATAAAAATGCCAAATAACCCTAAAGTTAACAATATATAAGTTACAGGAAAGAGGAGACCAATTCCAGTTAAATTGCTGCATTTATCTGGCATGTCATAAAGTTAATGGAAGCCATTTGTATTTAGGTATTCCTAATTTAGCAGTTAGCTGGCATGCCCTACTTAGTTATTCCAAATTAAATGATGTCTGGAAGATGTTCTTGTGGCATGCTGTCAGAGGTCAAAGAGCCTTTGTATCAGAAGAATATCGGGGTCTTTTCCAGTTTCCTTTTGGTATCAGGAGACAAGGTTGTTATAACCAATGTATTCCAGAACTTTCCCTTTACTCTGTGGTAAAGAACACTATGTTTAATGCTCTGACTGGGTTAGTTTCGTGCGGAGCTGGCAGTTGTGAAGTTATCATCCAGCTGTGCTTCTGCTGTGACCTGCTAACACTCTCAACCTCCTCCTTGCTCAATCCTCATTCACAACCCTCCGATGTGCAGGCTTAATTTAACTTGCCCACTCAGTGGGCAAGACACATTAGAATGGAATCACCTTATGATTATTTTACCTGAACTGTTCTCAATTGTTTTTAATCAAAACTTTTAAGGGGTTTTATCTATGTCACCCTAGCCACTACTGTAGGTATTTAGGTATAGCTGAAAACACTAAGACGGCCTCCTGCCATTTGTAGCCTACAAACACTTTCAGCGGTTTGAGTAGTCTGAACACTATAACATGGCTACCAAGGCTTCTTGTGAGTGGCCACTGCCAAATCTATGGGGATTCTAGATTCTCGGTAAACATCTTTGCACTCCTGTGAGAGCCAAGCTCTGTCCCTTTCCCTGGGTTCTACACACACTCTTTGACACTCCATCTTCCTCACTGATTTACAATGTTTCTTAAACTCATTAAGGCGCTTTTGAGGATCATTTCAATCACCTGTGAGTTCTAAAAGATCCTCTGGAGAATCATTTTCTTTTAATAATAATCTAAAAAAACAATAAAAGCATATTTGGGTTCATATGAATGGCAGTGTTTTCAACCTGTATATATGTGACAAACCTCAGGGCTCACTTTTGACTTCAGATTACCTTGTGATTGTGTGTCATAGTTTGGTTAAATGTTGTCATAGACCAGTGGGGAGAACCTAGAGTTGGCTCTACTAAACATACACTGTGTCTCAAACCAGAGAGGGATGATGATAATGCAGGGGCACTGAGATCCCTGTCTGAACAAAAGATGGCACAGTTAGAATAAGGGCCACTGCGCTGGATGCTGGACCACACTGCTTAGACAGCAGCAAGGCCTTCCTTCTTGCAATAGACACTGAAACCTCAAGAGTCAGCGCCTCATCCAATGCAACAGCCAATGCACAACCCAAGTCACTGCAACATGTGTTATCCGACTAGCAATGAGCCACACACTGGAGCTTCAGATCCAAACGGCCAAGGACAGCATCTCAGTTCCTACTCCTCACTACCTCTGTGACCTCTTACTATGGGGTTAACCACACAGCACTTACCCTATGGGAATGCTGTGATGGCTACATGTAACCCTTTAGAATGGTGCCTAGCCTAGATGAGTAGTTATGGGTGTCTGCTACTACACCAATGCTAAGTTGTGCAGTTTATACAAATGTTAATGTCTATGTATATATGTTTTACAGTTTTTAAAACATTCACTGACATGGTAATTTCAAAAGCTCACGAAATTTGTAGTCAGGCTAATTATTTATTATTCAAGTAATAGTGAAAGTAACTATCCACTGAGGATCTAAAGCTCTCTCACCATAATGACCTGAAAACAGATGCTCATGTTAGTATTGGTTGACTCAGCTTCTTCTCTCAGGCCAGCCCTGGCCTTATAAGTCAGGGCTCCACATCCCTCATATGTGTTCTTGTATCACAATGGCAATACTACTTGCTTTGGTAACATGCTTAGCACGTAGGATGGTCATTGCTTATTTAATCTGGCCCCCAAATATAGATTGTATGTTTCTCAAGAGCAGAGACCTATATAATCCCAAAACCAGGTGGAGTGAGTGACAACTAACAGACACTCAACAATATGCAACAATAGAGCATCACAGTCAGTTATCTGAGTAACCATGGTAACTGCAATTCTGCTGTGATAGAAGGCTGAATGGAAAGCATAATCAGTGAGGTGAAGGGCTGGGCTAAAAATGGATTCTTTTTTGATTCAGAGAGATACGCAAAGCTAACACTGCTTGCCAGCATTCCCCTCCTCTGCAGATCCTCAGCCTACGACCTCATCTTTTCTTCCCAAGACACTTGGAAGAGGTTGCCAAACATGTGCAGTCTGGATGGCCTCCAGTCTGTCTGGGTGGCTATCAGAAGATCTCTCTTACACACAAATGGGACTATTAGACAAATCCCACACCCATTTATAATTCCTTAACAGCTTCCGAATGCCTCCAAATATAATCCAATTCTTGGCAGAAGATAAGAGACCCTTCCAGATCCTTCTTCCTCTTTTCCCACCTCCTTTCTCCTGACCCCTCCACAAGTCAAGCCACCCAGCCCTAGGGCTTCCTTTCAAAATGTCCATATGTTTGTGTCCTTTTAGTAGGAATCCCTTCTTCATACTTCTGCCTTTCTATCAGCTCCCAACTCCATTCAAATGTCTATCCATTTGTTCTTCTGTTAGAACACCAGGCCTTCTGGGAGACCCAGAGCTAAAAGCCATCTGTGAAGGTCCACGGTAACAAACATAAGACTGTAACCATTCACTCCCACATAACCTCCACCAAGCCAGCACCCCAGGAAGTTAGTGAAGTCTAGTTCAACCCAAGAATTAAAGAAGATAAACCACGCTAACCGCAAAGCTATGTGTTCCTTAAAATGCACTTCAAAATGCCTGGCCTATGGAGAATTTGATGGGAAACATGTATCCACCATGGACACCCTGAACCATCTCAATTTTGGTTTATTCTCCAGCAAGATTTTCAATCATACTATACATATTTGATGAACAAGGAATTCCTAATATACGCTTTCCCTCCTAAATATTCAGTTATGGCTACCCGCATGCAGCCTCTACAACCAAGGCTAACCTCTGCATTTAAGTGTTTAAGACACTCTTTAGTTTGTCTCCATTACATATTATTGGGTAATAAAATAATAGTTAACATTTGTTGATAGCTTCTATGTATTGTGCACTGTTCAGAGAGCTTTCCATAAAGATAATCGTTTTAATAAGATTTTCTGATATATTTAAATAGCTTGTACTCGTTCAGACCTTGCCAGAGCGATTTCCTAGTAATTAAGTCATTTAATTTTCCTAACAAACTTATAGCTAGGTACCCGTATTATTTCTATGTTTCAAAGCACAGAGGGGTTGAGTAACAGGCTCAAAAATCACACAGTTCTAAAGTGAAGCAGGCAGAAGTAGAGCCCAGGCTAGCCCAGAAGACCACAGGAGTGCGCCTCTCCATCTCTGTTGTCCTCCTTTTCCTGTGGGCCACTGCCATGTTCTGCTCTGCCAGACCCTCCTCCATCCCCCCCCCACCCCACCCCAAGGTTTGCCCAAAGCTCATCTTCAGCTTGAGGCCTCTTCAAAACCGCCACCGCCACCGCCACCTTTGTGTTGTCTTCCCTTTACTGTCAACTTTGACATCATAGACACCAAGCATTTTGCCTCAGAAGTCCTGTTTTCCTTTAGAACTCTGATTTACTGTCTTTAAAGGTTCTGTGTCCTGAGTGAGACTTGAGACATGCAAGATTATCTCCTTGAAGATGCCAGGAAGGTAACTGCTCATGAAGCCCCCTGAGAGCTCAGCTCTACACCCAGAGAAAGGCTTTGGATATTTCTATGGGATTAAGTGTACAATGAAGTCAGACCCTCATACTTCCCCTTGTGGCAGACTGTACCCTGTACCCTGTAACTCTATTTTTAAAACTGAGCAAAATCTCTGAATAAATTTGTATTTCCCTAGGTATGTTTCCTGTCTAACAATGGATGCTGAAACAAAGGGACACTGGGAAGCAAAGCTGAAAATGAAGTCAGGCTTCCCTCAGCTAGAACCAGCAGAACAGGCTTCATTCTGATGCACCTGAAATGAACTGGCTCCTCCTTGGCTCCGCCATTGCAGTCCCTTACTTGATCTCAGATGTAATCTGCGCTTGCAGTAATGGCACAGACCCACCTTACCCTGGATAAACGGGAGCCCTCCACTGCTCGACAGCCTCCCTTGGCGGCATTCCCACAAGTGCCAGTTAGTGCACTGCACGTTCCCAGTAACCTACTTGGCTGCGTCAGCTCCGCTAGTGATTAAGGTGTTAATCAGAAGCTCGTGACCATATCTTGCAGCCACGTGGAGCGGAGTGTTGCCATCCTTATCCACACAGTCGATTTCGCCTCCTGAAAGAGAATGCAATATGGCATCATGCAGAGCTTCAGGCTGATTTAGGTACCACATCCTGCCAGCCACTTGGGAGCGCCGAATATTGATTTCCTTCCTACTTCAGTGTGCATCTGTGCTCTACAGTATAAAAACGACTGTTACGGGGACGAGTCACCATTTCAAGCTGTAGAAATGTCATGTCTGCTAAAATAGAAGTTTATTAAAAATGCTTTTGAAAAATTTATGTTGTCTCAAGAACCTAAAACCTTACAACCATATTCTGGCTCTAAGTGGACAATACAATCAACTCCCATAAAGTACAACTCTGAAGACTTACAGAAATGACCTCACACAAGCCAAACGAGATAGAATCTTCAGGGAAAGATTTGTGTAATGTGGTGACCTAGCTTAAAATATGGATGAGTAAAATGAAGAAGAAGAAGAAAAAAAAAAAGCTTAAATTGAAAGCTGAAAATGCCTGTATTAACAACAACGAAAAATCACATTAGTTACCTGCCCTCTCATATAACATTTCCATTTATTTCATTTGTGTTGCATTGTTTTCCTCCAACTTTTTAGTTCATGTTTTCCTTCTTATGAGTGTATGTACAAACATAATGGGTCTCTCTGGTTATATGAAGAATCATTTAAAAATAAATAAGATAGTGTGGCATTTCACTTGTATATATGTCTCCCTTGAGATCGAAATATTCTCACACACAGAGGCATCCTCTTATCTTACTGAAGAAAATGAGTATTGGTGTAATTCTGTGGACTATACAGTGCAGATGGCACTGTCTCCAACGGGCTTCCAAATGGGATTTACAGTTGTTGATCTGTTTAAGTCTGGGATCCAAAGACTCTGGCAGCAGCGTCCCTTCTGCATTTTATTTATTCAAACCCCTATGTGCCATTAATATCATCGGCAACCAAGACAAGTTGTGTAGGATGTCCTACATGTAGGACTTATCTGAAGGTTTCCTCACCAGAGTCATACTAAACATGTTGGTAAGGCTATTTCCCATTGTGCTGCCCCCGTACACATGCTGGGTGCATTATTCTGCTGTTTGGCGATGCAATACTGCATCACATGCCACAGGTACAAGGCTTCAGTGAGGAAAGATGATGCTGTTGATGGTGACTGCGTAACAGTGTGTGAGCATTTACTTAATGGTACTGAACTGTTAATTCTTTATAAACAGCTACAATGGGGTTTTCTGTTTTATGTATTTTACTTCAGTAAAAAAGACACTTGAGTACTCAAGGAGGAATCTGCCAACACATCCTATGGGAACTATAGCCTTGATAATTAGCAAACATTTTTGTGTAGTGATCCTTTAAGGCTGTGAGAATACTCATTGTAATGATCCATCTCCAACAAAACTGTTCCACAATGATCTCCCCCACACAGAAGGACAATTTATGCAAAAACTGCCAAAACTCTATGCACTTGTACACTTGCTTTGATGTGCAGTTGGTATATTTGATTCTGTTTTAAATTTTTAACTAGATTCAATTTAAAGTGTTTTGCTCATGTGTAAAATATTTATACTTCACAAACCAAAATTTTAATTTTAAAAGCCTCATGCCTAGAAAGTACCTCAGTTGGCATAGTGGTTGCCACGCAAGCATGAAGCCCTAAATTGGCTCCTAGAACCTAAGCAAAAAGCTGGGTGTCCAAGTGGTTCACACTTGCAATGCCAGCATGAGTCAGACAGTGACAGAAAGAATTCTGGGACTCCTGGCCAGCCACCAAGCCTAATTAGCAAGCTACGGGCCCCAGGAGGGACCCTGCCTCCAAAGAACAAGGTGGATGGCTTCTGAGGGATGGATGACACCTGAGGGGGATTTGTTGCCTCCATATGTGCAGGCATGAACACAGACAGTCAGACAGACAGAAAAACAGACACACACACACACACACACACACACACACACACTTCTCTTTGCATTCCCCCTACTCCATTCTTACAGACTCCTACTGGAAACCGTTTTCATTAGTTTTAGCTCAAGCTTCCTGCATTTCTCTGACTGTGTCTTCCCTGACTACATCCTGGAACTCAAGGTGAGTGGTCACTTTTTTGAGGACAGCCTTAATATTACACAGTTGTGCTGTTCCTCCTGCATGGATGAGCTGGCTTAGAAGACTCATATCCTATGGATTGGGCTGTAAATAACATTTTGCTATTACCAGTGAAGGATCTCATTTGCATGTATACTTTTTGTATTTGCTATTTGCAGATTCAGAGTAATTTTCCTAGAAGGGCACTTTCTAGTTTAAAAGCAAACGAGTGTGTGTTTTTGTTGGGTTTTGCCAACTCGCTCTCTGTGGTGCCGAGTAACATACATGCTAACCAGAGCTGTGAGAGTGTGCCTCATCTCTGCAGTCTCATCAAGCTTCAGAGAATCTGACATCTGATAGCGGAGAATCAGCATCCCAGTGGGATTTTCATTTGCATTTATCCTATTATGAAGGAAGTTGAGTATCATCTCCTGTATCAAGGGACACTTGTTTATCTAACCCTGAGGAAGCATTTCTCAGGAATGTTGCCCATTGTTCTAAATTTGTGTGTCTGCATGTGGTCTTTTATTCCTTGATTTTCAAGAACTCTTCAGACTCTGGGGGATTGTGTATTTATCAGTAATATATGCTATAAATATTTTCCTTCTAGTCTTTCTTTGTCTTTATGGTATCTTCATTCAATTAAAAATATAATAAATAAGCCTTTTTTCTTTATTGTATCTTGGTTGCAAGTACAAAAGCTTTCTGTACATGCTGATAACAAAGAAATTAACCCATTGTTGACTACACTGGAAAAATGTGTTAGGTTGAGGTAGCTGGCCCATTTGGAGTTTATTTTAGTGGTTGTGATGCAAGTTGTCTGACTAAATAAATGTCCCCCAAGGCCTGAAAGAAATAGTCTGAGGAAGAGGTTCAAACAGTTCATAAGGACAAAGTAGGTCAGTGGTTGTCAGGGCCTGGGAAGGATAACGAGAGGGACGCTGATGAGAAAGAGTTCCTTTTTATCGTTACATGGCAGTGTTAGTTGTGTGACCTTGAGAAAGCACTCAAGCCCACTGAACTGTGTATGACTTAGAGCTCCATTTAAAACTTAAATTCTAATGGACATGGTGACTCATGCTGTAACTCCCAGGACTCAGGAGGCTGTGGCAGAAGGATGGTGAGTTAAGGCTATCCTGGGCTACATAGTGAGTTTGAGGCTGACCTGAGCTACATAGCGAGACCTCATTTCAAAAAAGGGAAAGAAAAAGAAAGTTTTAAGGCCAGAAGCAAGGTACAGAAAATTAAAGGGTGAAGTCAAGTAGGGGGAGATTGTTCGGAAGGATAAATCATAGTAGATGTTTGTGTTTACATAAACAAATCTACTCTTTAACAATACTTAAAAATTTAAATACCCAGTGTATTACAGCAAAATAAAGTCACTCTGAGGTTCTAGCTTTTAGTTATCCTATTCAGAAATAATCTCTGCAACATTGTGGAAATCTGTACATTATTGAGCTATCAGACCATGCTGGTAGATAGCAGGTATAGAGTTTTGAGTTACCGGACCATGCTGGTAGATGACAGGTACAGAGCATTGAGCTATCAGATCATGCTGGTAGATGACAGGTATAAAGTAGACCTCAATGAATGACTATGCTTTACCAAATAGTCACCCTTACTCTCCAATACTGTAAAAAACAAAAACAAAACCCATCGGTCAACAAGGACCCATCACCTTTGACCTTATTTCATTATTATTTTGATTTGTTAATATATCCATATTGTGACAAGATATACTAGCATTATAATATCTAGTATACACACCTCAACTACATGCACATCTGTATTTGCTAAAGTAAGAAATGTAAATATATGAATGAATGGCTTTAATCAAGCTACGAAGACATACTTGCTCTAAATAATATATTGTTGATGAAGATGATCAAATGAAATTTAAAAAAGAGACAGAGAAATCATCCATAAATGTACTGACTATCCAAGACAGTATGAGTATTCGGGAGCATCCCCTTCCTTTTTTGTATGTGTATGTGTGCATTTATATGTTCACATGAGCATTTACACGTGCATGTGTGCATTTGTGTATGCATGCCCGTGTGCATGCATCTGAGCATATTTGTGTGCATTTGTATATATTTGTGAATGTACATGTATATACATCCATGTGTGTGCAACTGCATGCCTGCATTATATGTAGAATTTTCCATTGCTGAACTTAGTGTAGAAATATTTGTATCTTGCTTTCTTCCTTAATGCTACATTAAAAATACTTCCTTGTTATTTTTTCACTAATATAACTGTAAATGGCTATAAAAAATCTGTAATTTGGAGCATTTATTTAACAAGCCCCCAGTCACCAGACATTAGAGGCTCTTCCAAGATTTTTGTTATTAAGGAAAACAGAAGAATAAACATCTTTGTGAAGACTTTTCACACTACAGACCACTTCCTCCAGCAGCACTGTTAGAAGCCTGACTGCTGGATTAAAAGTCTGCATCTTTTTAAGGCTCTGAACAAACAGCAGAAAAACAGCTTTTGAGAGTGGCTGTTGTAGTTTACATCCTTGTGACGTGTTCTCAGGCACATTAGAGTCTTCCAGGATCTGGGACGAGGTTGAACTTCCAGGCCATGATCCTGAGCCTTGTAATAAACCATTATCAAATCCCCCAATATCTGCACATCCCTTCACTCCAATGAGCCAATGAAACCTATTTTTGCTCATCCTACTCAATGCAACGCCAAGTAGTTTTTTTTTTTTTTTCTTCAGGAAGTAGTATTTTTAACTGGACAAATAAGTTATTAAAAGATGTCAGTTGATAGTAATCTTTGCAATAAATTATCAAAAGTATGTGGCCCTTCTGAAAGAGGCAAAAGCTTCAAAACCTGTGCTCATCACAGACGGCTCTGAGACTTATGTGTCTAGATCATCACTTGAAGAACTAATCTGCGGCCAGCAAGTCTTGCTCATGCGAAGTTGACAACACTGTTGCCTTTAACCATATGGAGAAATATCACTGGCAGCCTGAATCCAATCACTGATCTTTACTCAGATTTGTGTCTCTCTGGTATGGCGTTCAGTTTTAGAATGAATTATTCAAAGAAATACATTATGACCTTTCTTATAAAAGTAATAATTGTGTATCTTCCTATATATAAATAAATAGAAAATTCCAAAACATTTACCAAATTGCCAATAGAAGTTCTGATTAGGGAGGTCCTTCAATGATTTCATTTTGGTTTGCAGTGAGTGCATAGTTATTTCACAATAATAATTAAAATGAAAAGGCTAATTTTTGTGATCTAGGGAGTAGAAAGATATCTCACTATGATCTGATTTTAGAAGTTTCTATTTAGATTAATTCATTTTTATGCCTTGATTGTATTTTTGGCCCCCATTTGGTCTCCATGATTACCCCCAATGTAACATAGGGCATATGTATCTGTCTAAAGACTTGAGGTGTGGTCTACCTGAAAAGGTCAACCATAAAACTGGTCTAGGAAAATGGGGAGGGAGATTCATAGAGTTCAGAGAAGCCTTTGTTCCTGACACTGCTACATAGCCACACATCCTTCCCAGCTGAAAGCCACCAAAGATTTCTGAAGACACACTAAGGCCTAGGTTCACCATCCTCAAATATGCCAAAAATTGAGGAGAGAAAGTCAAGGGTAAAAATATCAACAAGGGTAGTCCGAGTCCAAAAGTTTTCCCATTGATGCTGCCATTTTATGTCTGTTTAAGGCCATGTAAGAATAATTACCATATGTATATGCTTTAGCTGTCATTTAAAATATATTTTAGGGGAACATCATAACAATGGAAAAATAAGAGACTTTGCATGTGTATCTGAAAATATGTTTCTATTAAAGTAAATCCTCTGGGTGAGTGAGTTTTTATTTTATCAGCACTCTACAGATATTTCCATTTCCACTTGAAAATATTTAAGCCTTGCTCAGAGGAGGCATTAGATACCTCTACCATTCATCTGAATGTTGCAAGTTAAATGTGGCAAACTAATTATTAATAATCAGTGAGTTAAATATGCACTCACCACATTAAAGGCATGCATGGCATGTTCAAAGGGACAGTCAGCATTCATCTGAAAATAGCTTTTCATTGCACAGACAAGATTGGTCATTTTAAGTTGCTTCAGAAGGACTGTGAACCATAGGTCAAAACCATACTGAGTCATCGTAAGCTAGGGCTTTTAGAAGCTTCAAAAATAAAGAGAGCTGGTACCAGAAGAGTCTAAGGCAATGCCATGTTTGAACTTTGTAGCTTGCTGGACAGCGTCTGAGGCAGCTGCCTCATGCCAATAGTTGGATCAGATCCCTCTCAGTCTACAGAGTCATCTTCTAGCCCCCATCCCTCTCTTGCTGTAGCTTTGCAACAACAAACAATTCAGTTTGAGCCCAGGTACACTTTGTTTTTCAACTGTAAAAGGAAAAGTTGTGGGTTTTTTACTTGCTTGTTCTAGTGATTGCCTTCCCAAACGACGCTGGAGGAACCAGGTTTTCATGTAGATTTAGTAAGCCTGGTTGGAGGGGAGAATCAGAAAAATGTTCTACAGAGGCCAAACATCTAAGCGGCCTAACAGAACAAACAAAAATACAAAGGGCATTCCCAGGTGTGAGGTCAACTTCGTGCCCGTGTGACAGTGCCTTCACAGTGACAGTGCAGAACACAGAGCAGCTTATGTGAGCTGTGACAAGCTCTGGGGACTGATGCCAGACCTCTGTGGTAGCAGAGGCTCTGTAAGAGCAGGGTTTTTTGTTTGTTTGTTTGTTTTGTTTTGTTTTCCAAAAACAAGACAATAAGCAGAAAGAAAGAAAAGAAATTACTTTGCCCCCTAGAAAAATTGTATTAAATGTCCAGAAAGGCCAAATGGCAGAACTGATACCCCTCATGCATGTAATGGGAGCATAAAGAAAGCCCCTAGGTGCTCATCTACATGGACAGCTCTATCCCAATCTAGGTAGCTCTGAGACTGAACTGAATTCAAGCTGAAAAGAAAGAAGCTGAATCTCACATTCTCCTGGGAAGATGTATGTGGAGACGGTGGCTGGAGGCTACTCTCCAGGGCTGGATTGTGTACCAAACCCTGTCCCTAACCATCCTGCTCAGGAAGCCCAACATGTGACCACTGCCTCACTTTCTTCGTCTTTGAAGTGAGGTTGATAAAGTTCCTCCTGGGATGGCAAGAAGGAATTATATGGTGGTGTCTGGCCAAGAGCCTGGCACAGCCTGAGCATTCAGTCAAAGTTAGCTTTATCAGTACACGCACTAACATGCATGTACGATTACAGCCACTATGTCTCATCAGTTCAGGCCTGAGGATCCAAGTCCACCCACAAGCTGATGCCAGCCAGTCAGTAATGGGATAAGCTATAAAACAAAGTGTTCTTGGACATAGAAGCTAAGACTCACAGCTCTGAAGTGCAGCAAACTCCAAGTTTGACAGATGGAGAATCAAGGCAGCCAATAGCCCCCAGGAGTGCTATAAGCACACTACTGTGGGAGAGGAAGGCTGGACCATACTTGAAGTGGAGGAGATGCAAGTGTGGTCTGGAAAAGGGATAAACTAGTAAAACTAGTAAAAAAAAAAATCTCTTAAGGTTTTAGAAAGATATTCAGATATTCTCAGGGTAGAACACTTACTGCTCTTGCAGAGGACTGAGTTCAGTTCCCAGCATCCACGTGTCAGCTCACAACCATCTGCCACTCCAAGTCCAGGGAATCTGACACCGTCTTCTGGTCTTTGTGGGCATCATGGTATGGTACACACAAACACACACACACACACACACACACACACACACACACACACACACACACATATATATATATATATATATATATATATATATATATATATTTGGTTTTATGACTTGAGTAACTTTTAACTCAGTGCCACTAACTTTCCAATATTGCCCAAAATTCTTACAGCAACAAAATAAAGAGATCCAAGAGAAGTCACTCACATTTGAGAATTGGAAGGTTTTGAATCTATTAAACATAGTTTAGTCATTACCAAATTGATTAGGAATATCAACTTAATGCCTGATCTAAACCTGTTTTTTGTTATTCTTGTTTACAGATCGTCTCTGAAGCTTACTGAGATCTTATTATTGTGTTGTCACAGGTAGCCCACTCACAGATGCTAAGCATGACCCTAAGGCTGTAACATGAGCCATGACATGCATTGAGACTTCACGGACTTTAACCTCCGAGACAGCCCAGTGATATCCAAGCACACTTTTGTTAAGAGCCTGGAAAATTCCTGCATTACATGGCTTTCCTGGGTCTCTGTCAAGCCTGTAAGTTTACCACAAACTTACCTGCTTAAACCCTGAGTCACCTCACTTTTTTCTACCTTTGTCCATGTGATTGAATGAGCTTAAACTTGGGGAACTTTACTGGGTTCACCAATCTAAAAATATCTCAGACTGGCTGTTAAAAAATGAAAGCTACGGAGGCTTAGCATCATTACAAGTGAAAAACTCCAGTATTTAAAACCTGTTCATCTCTCCCAGTAGCCAGGCACACATGTTTTTCACCTGTCTGGGAATTGACTACAATACAGTGTTACATTCTCCCCACTACTAGAGGAAACTGACCATATGAGTACAATGGGTGTTCAGCAAAGCCTTATGTAAACCCATGCTTACTAAACTGCACACACAGCATCAGCTTCCACGTAGCTGGTTAAAGCTGTCTGAGAAAACTGTTAAGCCCCACAGAAGCATACCCCTTACCGTTCTGGATGAGTGTTTGTGACCGAGTGAACCTTCCATGGACAGCTGTCATGTGCAGGGGACTTTTGCCATCCTTACTCTACAAAAACGAGAAAGGAGAAACAAAGGATTGGTGAGCCAGTATCATTGGCCTGGAATGTCACTGTGAAAGTCACTCTTGGTACCCTGCAAATAGCACTCTCAACTGATGCTTTAAAATTGTGGTCAACAATTACAAAGAAGAGATAACTTTGAAATAAAAGGATAAAGATCCAAAGAGGCAGAGACTGGGGAGGACTGGGAAAAACTGTCTCCTGGATGTGACAGTTCCTGACTGATGTGCTCAGGAACTCTCGGCAGTTTGTCTTGTGGAGGTACTGTTGCCTCCACAAGATCAACCCAGTCCACATTTCAGCATGGAAAGGGGCAGGGCTTGTGAGTCCTCACCTCTAGTTGTGGAGCTATTGATCACTGGTGGCTGCTGATGGAAGGAGAATCAGTTTTACTTAGGGGTGTAGTCTCTAGTAGGCTGACCTTGCTCCAGTGAATGGCCTCACACTCATGTACTTATAGTGGGGATCCCTGATCTAGGGAAGGGGCAGTTAAGTTTGACCCAAATACATTGTATATATGTATGAAATTCACAAAGCATAAAAATATCATGTATAAAAAGATGCAATATGTAAGACCTCTCCAGTTACTGTGCATTGTCAGATATTTACATGTTTAAATGTTATTTATTATTTCTATTACTACATGGTGTGTGTGTGTGTGTATGTGTGTGTGTGTGTGTGTGTGTGTTGTGTGCATGTGTTCAATGGTGGGGATGGGGGACAGGAATAGTGCACATATGGAAGCCAGAGGATAGCTTCATAGAACACATTTTCTCCTTCCTGTTGTGTGTGGGTTCCGGGAATCAAACTCAGGCTTGCGCCTTTACCTGCTAAGCCACCTCACCAGCCTCCTTTTCTTTTAGTTAAAAAAAAAAATTAACATCACATGTTAAAAACCCTCAGAGAAATGATCATTTAAAATTCTTTCTCCTCCCTTGTCATCAGCTGACAAAGGACATCTTTGGTGTACTTCTCAGCTTCCAGAGAGATAAGTGATCTGCAAACTTGTATGGACCTGTTTGACCTGGAGCTGACTAAACTGACACAACTCTCAAAACTATGTGGGAAACCCTGCACCATTCTCTCCATGTGACTTTAGTAGATAGTATATGTGTGCTTGTAGTGAGATGTCCACCCCGTCCGCACCTGTTGCACTGACCATGCCCATTGGGGTGTGGGGACAGATGTGGACATAACTGGTGGGGGCTAGTTCTGAAGTCCCAGACCCCAGCTCTCTCTCTTACTTCCTGGTCTGAGACAGAGCATCGGGGGCATCCTTGGAATGGGAACCTGTGACAGTCATCTATTTCTGGTGTAAGAGATTTTTTTCCTCAAATAAATATCCATCAGCCTATATTGTGTCCCAGATTCTTATTTCCCACACAATATGTGCTGAATTTATATATGTATTACTCATGACAAAAAATCGTGAAACTTCCTAAAGCAGGCTAAAACAAAACATAGAAAATGTACAGAACTTATCTACTGAGTGCTAACATATCAAGATCAGACTCTCACACAGTTAAGAAGTGAAAATACACCTGAAAGAAACTATCGTGACTGTGGGACAAAGGCATCTCTGGAGGGATGGATGTGCAGACTCTTCCAATTCCTAACAGCTCCACACAGCATTCTAACCTTGTGATTGTGTGGACCTGTTCAGATTCAGTAGGAACTGTGCCTCGGAGCTTCAGTGCAGCTCCTTTTCTGGGCTATGACATGCAGATTGAAACCCTGAAGTTGTGGTGTGGTGGCAGTGGCATGCAGATCAGCAACAGAGACATTGCAGTGGACTGCTGCCAAGCTGTGATGTTCAGTATTGGGAAGGAATTTGTTAAAGTAATCTTAAATTTATGGTAGGTTTGAACTTAAGGCAGGGAGTGACCATTTCTTCATTCAATCTTACTACATTTTAATTTATGTAATATGTATGTACGTGGATGTACTTGCTTCCATGCACATATGGAGGTCAGAGGATAACTTGAGGGAGCCAGTTCTCATCTTCTATCATGTGGTACCCAAAGTTCTAACTCAGGTCAACAGGCCTGGCAGCAGGAGACTTTACTTATTGAACCAGCTTGCTGACACTTGTGTGTTTTTAAAACTTTTATCACAATTATTTCCCTAAATATCACCATAAATGTCTCTTCAAATCTGAGATTAAAAAATGAAATGTCCCACATGAATATTCAATCTTAGAGAAAATCGAAGCATCTATGTTTTAAAATGGCTTTGTTTTTAAAATCCCCAATTGAAGAATAAGTATCTCTTAAAGGACCTAGGTCCAGCCCTACCCAGGGCGTTTAGTGATGATATGAATTCTGTTCAGATATGAATCTGAACAGGGACATGGGCATCATCCCAAGCTTGCACAGTGTACTCAAAGGTAAGAGCAGGTTGTTTTGTTTTGTTTTTGTTTTATCAGAGAGAACATTACTATATCCTATAAGTATTCCTTTGAAAAGAAGAAAGTAATTACACAAAGTCTATGCCAATGGAAGACTTAATCACAGTGATAACTACATCCTAGTTGAAGAAAAAACACTATATGATCCATAATATGATTGTAGCCAAAATCAGAAAATATTGAGAAAAGATGGGCACTTGGAGCCTTTTAAAGGAAAAATAAAAGCCACTGGGAGGATGAGGTTTGTCTTCATCACTGACCTTGAGACATATGCCTGAGAACCACTCTAGAATAAGGAATTAAAAAACAACCATCATTTTTAAAAAAGAAGAAAGTAGGAAAAGAGGGAAGGAAGGAAAGAAGGAAGGGAGGGAGGGAGGGAAGGAGGGAAGGAGGAGGAAGGAAGGAAGGGAGGGAGGGAGGGAGGACAAGCCCTTTCAGTCAGATGGATGGCAGAGTAAGACTCAGGGAAAGCGAAAATGAGAATTTCAGAGTTGACACTAATTTGTCCGTAGGTGGTGCTATTTCTTTAAAATGTTTCTCCAGCATTTTCTCTTAAATTTAATATAAAAGCAGAAGTAATTATGATTTAATTCAATGTATATAAAGCTATAAATACTTCAGTGTTTAGGAAACATCTTGGTAAATTTTGAAGTAAGGGCCTTCCCATGCCTGGAAATGAACATGTAAAGTCTCTATCAAGGATTATGTACTTGGTAGCTGTATGAATTACAGCTGCAAGCCAAAGCAGAAGCAGGCAGTTACTACTGTATAGTTTGCAAAGCCAGTCCTGTGTAGAAAATGGCAACCAAACTCTGCTTTTTGGGAGTGTTTACGTCTCTAGTAAAAAGACAAATAAACAGAGATGATCACAGAGGGTAGGATGCAAAGATGGGCTGTTTGGTACAGATGATGCTCATTTCCGATGTACCTTTGCGGACTTTTGCCTTTGTTCACCTACTAATAAGACCAGGCAATAGCCAGTTGTCCTAAGTTTTACAGCTACCATTTGGGGCTTCTTTGTTTACATGGTATGGATATAAAGGGTGCTCACTGTTTAAAAAAAAAAAAAAAAAAAAAACACTGAAAACCAATGATATTCCAAGGGTAACATTCTTCCTTCAGTCTTCAAAATTTAGAACCCAATGAATCTGAAACTAGGACTCTGCTACACTTCGTTGCCTGAAAAGTTCTTCACGCTGGCACCTGGCTGCTGCCACTGTCCCTGGAAATTTGAACAAGGACCACATTGCCTGTGTACTCGGGAGATTGTGTCTAACCCTTCTAATTTGTTCAAGGCTAGGCTTAAAATATTTTTCTTCATTCCTAGTCTCCCCCCAGTTTTCTGGGCATGTTTTTCCCATCAGATTTAAGGCTTTCAACACTTTATTTAAGGAATTCATTTAATGAAACAAGAAGTTCTTTTAGGGATTTCTCAAGCCCTGAGTCATAAGGGAGAGCTAGTAAGAATTAAGATTACTTTGTGACAAATACTGCTACTTTTTTGCAGGGTAGACTACAACATGCCCTTGAACTAAATAGAATGTATAAACTGTCTTGACCCCCATGCTTCTCAGGAATTCATTCACAATGTCTTGTTTGCTCATCTTCCAGCACCTCCAGCCCCAAAGTCTCCTCCCTAAATGGCACTGCTGCTCCTTAGAGTCAGGACATGCTCTATGGCATGATGTATCCCAGAGTCACAGGAATCGGTGGCCCATCTGTCACAAGGCAGTAAGGCTGATATGAGCTCACCCCTAAGCTGGGGTAGGGGTGTCAGCATGTAAACTCGGGAACCCAAGAAGGATTCCTAAGTCAATGGAAGGGTACCTCAAAGCTGGTTGGGAAAAGCCATTATATGATCCAGTTTGTTTTGTTTTTAATGGTTAAAAATGCCAAAGATGATATGTGTGGACTCACAGTTCATTCCCTTCCTCCTCTGTTACTTCTCCAAAATTCCAAGGTTACATCCCTTCTATTGTTTCCTCCTGCCCATTCTAGTTTGTGTTAAACATCATTCTGTAAGTTAGTCTTAAAGCATACAGACAATGGAACTATCCCACTTCAGCAGATACGTGGCAGGCTTCAGTTCCAGTCTCCTACATACAAATGCTCCAAAGGTCCATGGACAGAAAGGAATGGAGATCATGACCAGTCTAAATGTTAGTGATCAGGAATTAGGCAACATGGCTGCGGCAATTTCTGAGACTGTTTTTGTTATTGTTTTGATTTGTTTTTGTTTTGTCTCATCCGCTGTGGCTTTGTGCTCAGTATCTTCTTGAAATCTTACTTTGAGTGCTTGTAAACAAACAAACAAACAAACAAAAACCTTGAGATGCTACAGAACTTATAATATGGTCTGTAGAAGAGAAGAAAAAAATTATATACTCTTATTTGCAAGTTACAAGTCGATCTTCAATAGATTTTGATATAAAATAACATGTCTTTATCAGTCTATCAAATTTAAATAGTGAAAAGTCAAAGTTAAATAAAATGAGATGACCCTAATAAAACATGACTATAAAATGCACATGGAACACATCCTCCCCCTTTCCCATCAATCTTGTTACTGTCCATGAAAACGTCACTCAGTTTATAAGTATGGAAGAAACCAGAGTGAATAGTAGGTGGATACTAGCTGCATTCTGTCCAATTTGAAAAATCAGAATGAAAACAAACTGTCTAATATCCACATTTAAAAATCTAAGAGCAATGTGGGACAGAGAGGTAACAACTCTAACTAGAAATCTGCCTTGAGTCAGACAGGTTGGTCCATGAAAATGTAGTTACATTTAGAATGTATGTTGAACCTGGAAAGAGAATCTAGAGGTAACACCACACTCAGAGAAGATAGGCACAGGAAATAAAAGGAGCCCCCAAAAAAAGCCTAGATATGAAGTCAAAACTCCCTTTATAGAGTAGATACAGAGAAACCCAGCTATGGTTTTAAGCTGCAAATTCTCGCATTCTATTTATGACTATCAGTCTCTAAGAAAAATTAAGCATCAAGGCTAAGTAAATATGCATTTAGTCTGGTCCATTTTCAAAAGATTTACTGACTTTATGTGTATATATGTGTACCCAAGTGTATAAATGTGCACTATGAATGCATGTGCAGGCATCTGTGTGTAGCAGAAGTTGACGTTAGATCCTCTGAAACTGGAGTGATGGGTCATTTTAAAGCCCAGGTCCCTTTGTAAGAGCAACAAGTGCTATTAACTGCTGAGCCATCTCTCCAGCCCCTCAGGTCCATTTTACAGGAAAGAAGCTAAGGCAAATAACCAATGTAATCTGTAGGTCCATTATCTAATTTGAACTGACTGCTGGGCAGCCAATTGGAAGAAGCAGGCAGGTATGGCAAGAAGTGGCTTCCTAGCTCTGGGCATCAGGCACACTGAGAGCACTGGGATGCATTTTTCAGAGGATGGGGAGCCTCAGACAGCCTGTGAGTTAATTAAGTGGAGGGTTGCAAAGATGGTGCCTTTACCTAACAATGTCCATCATCTTCCACGAAAGAACCACAGATATTCACAGTCCTGGAGATGATGATCGTTTGGCCACTTGTTCCCCGTGACTCTGTGACTTCCACCCTACTTTGTCACATTGTCACATTGACCTGTGTCTCCTTGGTCTCCTCCGTGTTTCCAAAGGCCTTCCTCTCACCTCTTCTGCGACTCTGCATTCCATGTATAGTGTGTGAGGCTCTGAAACACTCTCCTTCCGTTTATTTTTCCCTTCTGATTGAGCCTGACCTTGATGAAGATACCAAACTCCCTTCAGTTCTTTCTCCCCTTCCCTGCCTCTTCCTCATCCTCTGCTTGTGCTCCTCCTTCTCTGGACCCTAAGAGTCAAGTCCTGGAGTCCTCCCTTGCCTTCTCCACTCACGCCACTATGTATGCTCTCCTGAAATAACTCCACCCTTTCCTGTCATGTTTTTGTGACTGAAGCAGCCTAAATACTAATTTTTCATACTCTTTACTGCTCTTCTATGCTAGAATATCACGTTTCCACTACTGTGTCCTCAGGCTGACTCCACATCAGTTTCTCAAAAATTAAATGTAGAACCTAAGAGATGGCTCAGTGGGTAAGGGTACCTGTTCTCAAGTCAGGGTACCCAAGTTCAATTCCCATAACCCACATGGAAATAGAAGAGAACTAACTCCTACAAGTTGTCCTCTGACCTCCACATTCATGTGTGCTATGACAGACACACACACACACACACACACACACATAAACTAAGTGCATCAGTTTACCTCCTATGCCTACTCTTGCTCCTGGCATCTTCCCAATTAATATGAACAAAATGAGGTGCTTAGTGTATGTCAAATTTTGATCTGTATAATTTTGGTATGATAACTGTGTTTAACCGTTACAACATGACCATCAAGACAATACTATTATTTCCCTAACTTTCCAAATAAAATAACTGGGTCATAGACAGGTTGCTTTTGTTTAGTTATCTGAAGTCAATGCTAGAATTGGCTGCTCTATCTAAAGTTAAGGCAGTGTGGCCCCAGATCAAAGCACATGACTACTCTACAGTGCCACTTTCCTTTCCCCGGGTTCCATTCCTCATCTTCAGCTCCTCTCTCTTGCCAGCCTCTGCTGATTCTCTGCAAAATTTGTCCCTCTAACAGCCCCTCTCATTTCTCGTCTTCATGACTCAAAACCTAGACCAGTTTTGCAGACTTTCAATTATTGTGAAGGCATCCCATCTGTAGGTCTGCTATAGCTTAATTTATTTTTTTCTCGGAATGGAAAAGTGTTTCCTTTTGTGTTTAAAAGCAGCATGCCCAATGATCAAAATCAGAGGGTTTCAACCTGTGAGTTAATTGAGTGCTGAGTTGCAAAGATGGTGCTTTTACCTAACACCCATCATCCTTCTTCTTCAGAAGACCCACAGATGCCCACAGGAGGAGAGGAGGGAGAGAAAACTGAGGTTGGCATGTAAAATAAGTGAAAAAATTGAATCAATTTAAAAAAAAAAAAGGAGAAAGGATTGGAGCCTTGATGCCTACGTGCTGGCACCATCACACCTGGAGAGGCATCCCAGCAATTTCCACAGCATCTCAATCCAGGATGAGGCTATATGAATCAACGTGCAAAGGGCCGGTTCACAGGTGTTTAAGCAGAGAAACTGAGTACCATACCTGAATGTTCACATCAGCCCCATTGTTTACTAACAATTCCAGACACAGAGCACCATGAGTAGATGCTGCTGCGAAATGCAGAGGGGTGAAGCCACTGTTGTTGGGCTGGTTCACATTAGCACCGTAGTCGATGAGCTCATTAACGACAGCATCCTGGCCGTTGTAGCAGGCAATGTGCAGTGCTGTGTTTCCATAGACATTGATTTCATCAACCTGCAAAGCATCCAACAGTGCAATTAAAATCACTGGAGCCAATTTACTCCATTTGCTACAAAAAGCCTAATGGCTCTGGCGAGGGAACGGAAATATCCACCCGGCAGTGTAATTATTCAGAGCTCACTTGCTCCCCAGCAGGTATCCCGAGAGCCCCTGTCAACCCCCTCCCCCAACCCTGGGAAAGACAGGCAAAATTGAATATGACAAAAAATGACCCACGAGGCATTAGATAGTTCAGCCTGTGGAAGGGTCTTCCCAGTTATTGAAAGACAAGTAAGAATGAAGGCAGACACTTTCAAAATGTCAGAAAGGAAAGGAACAAACCCCAAAGACATAAGCTCATGAACAGTGACCATGAAAAGAGGGGACAGGGTTAGCAAAAGAGGGGACTTGCAGAGCCCGAGCCCTCAAGTCAGGCTGTTTTTACTCTGGAGCCTGACATCCGCCTGCAGAACTGGGGTGTGTTTGTCCACAACTCCCTACTGCTTTCCCAGACCCGCCCAAGGGTCTGGGTGTCTCCATCTAGGTCTCACACACTTGGTTCCCCTTTCCTGCAGGGGTTAGATACCCTGAGCATTACTGCTCCTGGCTATAGGAGAATGGAACTAGCAGACTATAGCTCAACACCAAAATCCCTTGTTCAATCCCTGGCATCCATTCATCTTCTTGGGCTATGAGCCACGAGAGACCAGCCTGGTCTACAGAGCAAGCTCCAGGACAGCCAGGGTCACACAGAGAAACCCTGTCTCAAAAAAAAAAAAAAAAAAAAAAAAAATTTAAAAAAGATTGTGAGAGTGTGTGTGCATATGTATAGTGTGTGTGTGTGTGTGTGTGTGTGTGTGTGTGTGTGTATATATATATATATATATATATATATAGAGAGAGAGAGAGAGAGATGTTTAGATATTTCTCAATATATACAGCCTGTTTCTAGTTTCCTGTTATTTAATCAATACCAATATCACAATTTATCAGTCCACACAATAAGAAGTACAGGACTCAATAGAATAAGTTTTTTTCTCCACTTGAATAAAAATATAAACAAGATTTTATTTCAGAAAGCCCAGAAAGACAGGAACCGAGGAGTGTCACAGCCATCGGGGCTTTACCTCCACCCCCAGGTTCAAGAGATGCTTGACCACGTTGATCTGCCCATTGGAGGCTGCAGCATGCAGAGGCGTGTAACCCTTCTTGTCCTTGCAGGTAACTTCAGCGCCGTGGTTGATAAGCAGTGCCACAACATCCAGGTGACCTTAACAAACAAAGCAGCAAAAACATTGTTAACCTTAATTAGGTAATTTGACAACTCATTGCACCCAAAAAGAACATTATTAGGTTTTTTTTCTTACCATCAGTGTTTCCCTAATCCAAGCTGCCTCATGGGAAATAGTCAATGAGCATTTATTGAGTACCAATTATGTGCTGGACATTATATAAATCCCATGGGAAGAAAAAGGGTGACTGAATATGACTTGAATGGGATGTAACAAAGGGGTGGCAGTTCACCATGACAACAAAGAACGACCACAGAGTGACAACACATTAGTACCACGGCCTTTTCAAAGTTGTACTGAATTTGAGTGTGCCATCCCAGACACTGGGAGACTGAGGAAAAGAAGTAACAAGCTGAAAGACACCAAGGACTACTGAGTGAATTCCATACCAGCTTAGATGGCTCAGCAAGACCCCCCACACACACACACACCTCAAAACAGAGACAGAACAAGGGTTATGTTAAAATGAAAGCCACTACCATTCCTAACCAAAAGAGCTCAACAGTAATGATTTAATGTACAAAAGTAAATTAAAAACAAACAAACAAAAAACCAGAATACTGCCAGATTACTGTGAAACTGGAAACTGCCATTGCTTTGTTAGGTTTTAATCAACAAGAAGGCAATTCCGTATGTTTCCATGTAAAATAACTCCCATAAATTATTCACTAAATAGAAAACCCTCCTAGTCTCAGTTGCTGTGGGTGTTTGAGCTCTGTTCCATAACTCACTGTGATAAATGGGTTTGGCCTTTATTTTATAATTGAAGATCATCCCAGGCTTAAGTTCATTGTTACAAACATTGCAGCTAACTGAGGGGCAGGAGACAGACACTGACTGCTGAACCTAAAATTCATAAGGCAGGTGGGAAGGGAGTTATGAGCTTGCTTTATAAAAAATGTGATTCTTTATCTATAAAACCTTGCACATACAACAAAATGTTTTCAATTACTAGTGGTGCTAACTCAAGCTACTTGTCCCAATTTCTATCTCATTATCTCCTAAGGATTGTCACCTAAATGTATGCTTTCCTGTTTGTAGCCTGATGACATGAGTAATAATGATCTGACTTCTTCAGGTCACCAAAAATATTTTAACTCTCCATTAACCAAGTGTAAGCTTGAAGCTCCTGATTCTTTGAGTAGCTCAGTGTACATTTTATCTAGACATCTGATTGCTTTTCGACAACTCAAAGGTCTGTGATACTCAAGGAAGGAAGAGGGAGTGGGGTGGGGGCTGACATGGGGATACACTATGGATACAGTGCTGGAATTATAGGAGTGTATCCCCATGCCAGCGCCCCTCCACACACTCACATACATACATACACTTCAATTCTAGCACTTGGAGGGCAGGAGGATCCGTTCAAGGTCTTAGCTAAACAAAGAGTTAATTCTTACAAAATGTTAAGATTCTTAGGTTCTGTAAGTCTAAGAATTCACTCAGAGATCTTTAGTGGTGTGATCTGTTTTATTCTTAGCCCAATCTACTCTCTTCTACCTCTAACAATTAATGATAAATTTTTGAAATGATGATAAAAAGCATGAACATTTGTCAAACTGACTCAAACAGGCAAAAATGCCTTTAAAAAAGAAGCCAATCCTCAATCCCTGAATGTACCATCTAATATTTCAGTATTTATTTTCCAAGTTTCCATTCACTGTCCAGAAGTTTCCACTGCAATGGGAAACACACATGTTACCATATTATATGTACTTCTCTATGATGAATCTCCCCTTAGTGTGTCACAAGCCCTTGATGTTTATAAATATGCATGAACGCCATTGCTGTTCTGTGTCTCATTGTGTTGATCATCTGGAATTTATCAAAACAATATCCCCTGGGTGGGTACCAGCCTGTGTGCATCTAATCTGATAGAACCCTGTCTTCTTTTCTCATTGCAGGTTCTTCTACAACCAGCAACTCACAGAAATATCTTAGTTCCTCATGTGTGCACTGAGAATAAACTGTGTGAACTATCATTTGTCCAAGATCTTTGCACCTATCAAAAGAAAAGGACAAAACAGAGATGCATCCTCTTTCTTCAACTCCGGCAGAGTGGAGTGGACAGGGGGGAAGCCTATGGGCCTCCACTTTGAACCCAGTATAGCAGAAACCTGATCTATAGGAACTCCACCACTTCTACCTACAAAGGAGCCAGGAAACTTTCTTCCTTCCCTTTGTTTCTTTCAAAAGTATTTAGAAGTTTAGAGACAAAGAGCATGGTGTATTACATTATTAACCAGTCTACTTTCTTTCCTAAACACTTTATTTGATGCCATAACAAGCTAACATACATGCAAAGTGTATCACTTTCCAATCCAGAGTGAAGAATGTTCAGAGAGGTCCAGACCATGAGTCATCCTCCCCCTCTTTGGGGATAAATAAGCCTCTGACAAGGCAACTGGCCAACTAGAGCACTTTACAGATGCCAGGAAAACGGGCCAAACCTTCATTCAACTGGAATCCAACCCTTAAGTCAGACTTGCCCAAGAAAGTCTATATAGTCAACAAGGGCCTGTGGAGTCTGTAGTTACATCTGCTTGTGGCTTTTAGTTGTTGTTTGTTATCTTGGGGATCAAAGTAGAGTCTTATGCACACTGGGCTCTTGCCCTTACATTGAGTTAGTAATGACCCCTGCACTTTGCTTTCTACACACAGAATCCTCACCCATGTATGCTGCCCAGTGGAGAGCACGCCGGTCCTTCTTGTCAAATGCATTGATGTTTGCCCCCTTGGACAAGAGTAAATTGACCATCTGAAAGATAAAAAACAATGAAATCAAGTGTTTGCTCTGCATTGATGAGCGCTCCTCGCTGTCTGCATGTGATCTAAACCAAATTAGTATCAACCCTAACAGCAAGTCAGGGATTTAGACAAGAAAGATGATGTCATAGAAGGCCCTGCCATGCATGTCAAAGAGAAGACTGATACGGCAATCTACTTTTTCTATTTGTTATGATCTGAATTTGAGAATGGATAGAACTGCCCAAGTGATCTACCTCTATTTCGCTGACATTCACACAGTCTCAACACTCACAATGACTGCATCTGTGGCTAACAGGGTCTGAGCCACTTGTCCCAATGAGGAGAGCACTCACCTCCATATGTCCATTCAGAGCTGCGTGGTGCAAGGCTGTGCGCCCTCCTCGGTCAGAGACATTAACACTGCTCAGTAGTGGGATGATCACTTCTGCACACTTGACAGCCTTATTGGCTGCTGCCACATGGAGGGGGGTCTGCCAATTCTTGTCTCTTGCATTGACATCAGCCGAGTGCTTAATCAATACTTGCACTGCCTCCTACAACAAAAGCAGTTTACAGGGTCACTGACAGATTCCCAATCACTGCTTCCTCTGTATAAGGTCTTCTCGGGACACAGAACCTGTAGAGAGAAAGGCAGGCTGTGGCCAAGCCAAGTCACATGAAGTAAAGATCTGAAGAATAACAGAATGAGACATTCACTCTATCTCACTTAGTCAAGTCAAGAGCCTGGCCCCCATCTAAAATCAAGCATGTCTTCTAAAGACAGTTTTGGTTTTTGTTTGTTTGTTTGTTTGTTTTTTTGTTTTTTGTTTTTTGTTTTTGCTTTTTTTTGAGACCTCCTTAGACCATCTAAAAGCATCCATGTACAGTACAGATGTGCACATCAGGTAAAAAATTTGTAAGAAAAACTTCCACCAAAATGTCATCTAAAATGACAGGAGTCTACCAATTAGTCAATAAACTCACAAAGTCTATCACATTCTTGGACCACTTTTTGGTTTTGGTTTTGTTTTACAGCCCGACCACATTTCCCCTCCTTCCTCTACTCTCAGTCCCTCCCCTACACACAACCCCTCTGCTCTCCCATTCACTCCTCCTCCATTTCTATTCAGAAAATGGCAGGCCTCCCATGGATATCAACCAAACATGGCATATCAAGTTGAAGGTTTGACAAGGCAACCAGTAGGGAGAAAGGTTCCCGAAAGCCAGAAAAGGTTTAGACAGTCCCTACTCCCACCGTAAGAGGCTCCACAACTGTAACATATGCAGAGGACCTAGATCAGTCCCATGTAGGCTCTATGAGAGCCTATTAGCCCAAATTAGTTGATTCTTTGGATTTCTTGTGGTATCTTTTACCCATCTGTCTCCTACAATCCTTCCTCTCCCTCTTCTGCAGGATCTCCAAGCTTTGCCTAATATTTGGCTGTGGTTTTTGCATCTGTTTCCATCAGTTTCTGGGTGAAGCCTCTCTTCTGATAACACCTGGGCTTGGCTCCATTCCACGAGTGTAGCAGAATATCACTAGGAATCACTTCATTGGGTTTTCTTCTAGTTGTGTTTGGTTCTATCCTAGGTCTCTGGGCTATTCAGCCTCTGAGTCCTGATCTTCCAGGAAGTTTCAGGAGTGGACTCCCTCTTGTGGCATGGGTCTCAAACTAGACCAGTCAATGGCTAGCCACTCCTACAATTTCTGGACCACCCATACCCTAGCACATCTTGTAGGCATGGCAAATTGTAGGTCAAAAGCTATGTGGTTGGGTTAGTGTCCCAATCCCTCCACTAGAAGTCTTGCCTGGTTATAGGAGATGGCCCGTTCAGGCTCCAAATCCCACATTGCTAGGAATCTTAACTAGGGTTACCTTCATAGATTCCTGAGAATTTCCATCACACTAGGTTTCTAGGTCATCCACAAATGCCCCCCCCCATTCTAGTTGTCTCTTCCAGAATTCTCCCCTTTCATCCTCCCCCAACCTGACCTCTCTGGTTCCCATTTCCCCACATGCACCCCTTCCTTGACTCATGTCTGTTCTATTTTCCCTTCCCAATGACACTCATATGTCCCACCTTGAACCCTCTATGTTACCTAGCTTCTCTGGGTCTGTGGATTGTAGCCTGGTTATCCTTTACTTTATAGCTAATATCCACATATGTATAAGTTTGTCTTTCTGGGTCTGAGTTATCTCACTTAGGATTTTTTTTTTTTTTTTTTTTGTAGTTCCATCCATTTGCCTGCAAATTTCATGATGCCGTTGTTTTTAACAGCTGACTAATACTCCATTGTGTAAATGTACCACAATGTCTTTATCCATTCAGTTGAGGGACATCTAGGTTGTTTCCAGTTTCTAGTTATTGTAAATAAAGCTGCTATACACATAGTTGAGCACAGGACACAGTTGTCTTCATAGTGATATGAGGGAGTGTCCTTTGGGAATATGTTCAGGAGTGTCATAGCTAGGTCCTGAGGTAGACTGAGCCCCAATTTTCTGAGATATCACCATATTGATTTCCAAAGTGGCTATACAAGTATGCATTCCCACCAGCACTGGAGGAGTGTTCCTCTTGCTCCACATATTTTTTTTTTTTTTTGCATCAACTATCATTGATATTTTTTATCTTAGCCATTCTAGTAGGTCTAAGATGGAATCTCATTCCTTCCACTGTTTCTCTGAGGAAGCAGACAGATCTCCTTCTGTCTCTCCTTTCTCCCTCATACTTCTCTCTCTCTTTCTCTTCGCTCACTCCCTTCCCTTCCCCCAACAAAACTTCCTTCCCATGCTTAGAAAAAAAATGGAATCTCAGAATCATTTTGATTTGCACTTCCCTGACCGCTAAAGATGTTGAACATTTTTTTTTAAGTGTTTCTTGGCCATTGAGATTCTTCTGTTGAGATTTGGTTTGTTGATGTGTAGCTTCTTGAGTTCTTTATATATTTTGGAAATCAGCCCTCTATCAAATGTGAGGTCAGTAAAGATCTTTTCCCATTCTGTAGACTGCCTTAGACCACTTTTTGAATCTAGATTCTTTGTGCCAACATGTAACACAGAACCTACCATCTTGTGAATCAATGTGCAGTCAAAGTAAACCATGTGTTTGTGTATTGCCTCAGCTTCAAGCTATGAAACAGTTCCTTTTCCATTACAACTAGTAACTTTTTTGTTGTTTTGATTTGGTTTCCTTTTTGTTTTTTTTGGGGGAGCATTGTTTGTTTGCTTGTTTGTTCATCTGTTTTGAACCAAGTCTCATTAAGTTGCCCCTGGAACTCACAATGTAACTCAAGTTGTCCCCAAACAAACATGATCCTCCCATCTCAGCCTCTTGTGTGATAAGATTATGGGTGCACACCACAAAGCTTGGCTATAATGAGTAACTTTCTTTTGCCATTCCCTTTTAAAAAATAAAACAGTTATTGAGACTTTTACATTTGATTTTCCTTTGCTTGACCCAATCAACTTACCAGTTTACCTACAACTCTCAACTCTATCCATACAATAGAATCAGAGGTCTGGGCCCACCCAAGACTACAAGAATTCAGCATTACTTTATGCCCCCTCTTCTGGTTACTCAAGTAATTTATGCAGTTCCTTTCAAGAAGAAAATATCTACTTATGACTTCTCTCTACTTCCAGAGACATCCCTCGGACTCATACATGGTGTTATTCAAGAATGTTTGTCATTGTGGCATCAGTAAGCTTGTGGAAGACATCAGTACCAGTAAGTTATTTTTAGGACACTCAATTCCCAGAGAATGAATATCCAAACTACTTAATCAGATGAGTATATATAATAGTATATCCCAGATAGATGATCTGAACTTGGCAAAATCAACACTTTAAGCCTGGATGCCAATACATACATACATACATACATACATGTTGAATGAGTCAGAAGTAACAATATATTGAGACAAACAGATAACTTGGACAGCAAAATGAAAGTTAAAAGAAATTGTAGAAATCTATCATACAACTGAGATGAGGAGATGATGCCAGACAAATAAAGACCACCTCAGAAAGGCTGCCAAAAATATGACTCAGTATTGCTTGAACCCACTTTAGACTGAAACACCCCATATAATTTTTACGTGTGTGTGTGTGTGTGTGTGTGTGTGTGTGTGTGTGTGTGTGTGTGTCTACAAGTGGAAAGGATCCATTCTCTATTTCTACCATGTGGGTTCTGGAAACTGAACTTACGTCTTCAGGCTTAGAGGCAAGCACCTTTACCTACTAAGCCATCTCACAGACCCCACATAAATTATCAATGCCTGCCTGCACATGAAACATTGCTTGAACTACAAATATCTAAAGAAATTAGTTTGATTCTAGCCTTTAAAACAGCCGATGGAACAAAAGTAAACAAAAGAACATTTAAATCACAATATAAGAGACAAATCATAATATAATATTTTAGAATCAGAAATACTTTAATCCAGTTTGGTCTGGTAAGTTCTCAAGTCTATCTGAATGCAGAGGCAGTCTACTATGGTATGGGAAGGGAGTCCTGGAACCTCCACTTGCACCATTTCCTTTAGAAAGGAAAGAATTATAGCTGACGTTTGCCTCAGGGTTGGCACTATGCCCTTAGGTGCTAAAACCAAGCCTCATTTATGCAGTAGGAGAAATCCTCATGGAAGAACGGCGCTTCAACAGTACTGCAGGGTGGAGGTCTCCCTCTCCTTCACTACCTTTGATTACATTTCAGTGTATGGTGATGACTAAAAGTGTACTTTCAGGATCTAATATACCTTTAAACGAAAAGAGTCCTAAAACATCCCAGGACTACAATCTCAGCTACTTGGGAAGCTGAGGCAGGAGAATCGCAGTTTGAGCTACAGACTGAGTCTAAGGCTAGTCCGGGCAATTTATTGAGATACTACCTTAATGTAAAAAGTCAAAAGGGAGTTTAAGATACAGCTTATTGGCAGAATGCTTGGCTAGTGTGTGAAGTCCCAGGCTCAATGCCCAATATAGGGGGTGGCAGAAAGGATCCAAGCAAGGTACCCAAGGAACAGAGACAACAACAGTGCAAGTATAGGGCCAGCACTGAAGCTTCCAACTCTCTAGGGTGAGCTTTATATGGCTGGTATCCCAGGGTAAGAAAGCAGTGACAAGTCTAATCAGATTTGACAAGACAAGGTCTGGCCAAGGCAGAGAAAAGCCATCAGAGGACTATTGTCTTCATGGTTGTATAAGGAAAAGAAATATAAATGAGATACATTGTTCTGAAGGTGTGTGCCAAAAAATGTTTTGCCGATATAGGGCATATATGGTAGCATCCTTTTTGCACATTCACAGAAGAACAATAACACATACTCTCACTTGAATGCCTTCACCTTAGTATAGTGTTATTTCACTGTGCTTGAGAGGGTTGTTTTGTTAAGTGTTATGTGAATTTAGGATAGATTAACAAGATAAAATATGCAAGATCATTTCACAAACTTACTTGTTTGGAGGTAAGACAAGTGAATTCATGAGAAATTTATAATTGAAAGTTAAATATAATTATCTCTTTTCTTCAGTGTTGGCACTCAAACCTAGAG